CCAAAGTTATAAATTTTAGCTTCATTTAATGGGGAAAAAAAATCTATCAGAATATTGTCATACAAATAAAGCACATTCATATTAAGAGTTCATCAATGATGATTAACAGTACTGTAAATAATACAGAGAGCACTTTATTGAATACCCAAATCTCAAGACAAAGTGCCACAGAAATATGGGTCTCAAAGAGGATTTAATATTGATAAAGCTTCATATATCTTCTGAATAAATTGTTGAAATTGTGTATTGTTATTCTCATCTTTTGGGTAACTTAAAATTGACGAAATGTCGCTAAATATATGTCAATTCAAATAGCCTCATTTTACTTTTAAGGCTATATGTTATACCAAATCTTATAGAAAACTTTCAAACTCCTTGGTGCAGAATATGCTGTAATCTTCAAACAATCTTGTCAGTAACACAAGTGCCTCTAAGTTTCTTTTATGTTTTTCAACACATATACTGTCAAAATGGTTATGATGTTTGGGATGAACAGGAGGATTTCCAATGCAGTCTTCTCAGTGTTAGCTGTTATCTGTTTGATACAGATTCATTGTTGATCAGCATTTTCACTTCTAATGCACCCAGGGTAATTTCCATCATGAAGAGTGTAACGATTACCGGTACCTTATTTAGTACAATCTTGTTTGTGTTATTTATGTACATTAAATGAGCAGAATTATTCTTAAAATTCATCAATAAAATAAAGGATTATTTGTGCATTATTCATTTTCAAAATTTATTAAATGTTTGACTGGAGATCTTGATAAATTGCCTACCATTTTCTGTTATATCAACAAACTTTTGTCAACATTATGGTTACTACATTGTAAGAAAGGGTAAAGCTAACACTCAGGTGTGGCTAATATGTGGATCAAATCCAAAAAAAATGCATGAAAATTGGCTTTTGCTTATATACTTGTATAACCCAGAAAATATGGTACCATGTTTTGTACGAGAGGTTGTTTGTGAACACATGGGAAGTATTGTGACATTTGGCAATGAAATTTAGCATGTGGCATCAAAATTCTATCAATTTTTATTTACAGTAATGGTGACTTATGTTTGAACAACAGAAGGTCAAAAGGTGAACTTGTTCGAGAGGGGATATTTTCAATACATGTGTGAAGTATCGTGACAATTGGATACTGGAACTAACAATGACCTTGCTTTTGATTGCAGAAAATTGAAATGAGAACAAGCAGAAGAGATGATGCTTGTGAACACATGTGAAGTATCTAGATAATCAAATAAGAAAACTGTAGAGCAGTGGTAATGTCATTTGGGACAAGTATGAATGATAGGAGGGTATAAGAAAATAACCTATTTTTATTTCTTTCTTTGACCATGGATGTTCTTTCAATGACAATCAGTTCAGCAGATTTTTTTAAATGATAAATCTAACATATTACTAGTTTGCAAATACCTCATTAGGAAACAAGGTAACATAGAGTGCTTCTCAGATACCTAAAAAGTCGGCTACATCTGAGCTATGAAGTTGTAACAAGAGGTCCAAGGGGCCTTTACGGTCACCTGAGGAATATATGTCAATAATCTGGGGATTTTAAAATGTTGCAAAAATGTAACAACACTTGTGCAGGACCAAGTGTAAAAACATCTGTACCAAGTTTGAAAATGACCCACCCAATGGTTCTTGAGAGGAAGTCCATAATGTCTTAGCCAAACAGAGGCCAGGGTGGCCATCTTGGATTTTGAATCGCCCCAAAAAATTAAGACACTTGCCAGGACCTTGTGTAGAACATTCGTATCAAGTTTCCCCTTTTCCCCCCTCCTGGGGCCCCTATTGGGGCCACGCTCTTTTTCTTCGCAAACTTGAAGCGGCTTCTCATAAGATGCTTTGTGCCAAGTCTGGTCAAAATCCATCCACTGGTTCTTGAGAAGTAGTCATTTAATGAAGGTTTTTACATATGGCCCCTTTTACACCCTTTATGGGCCCCAAAGGGGATATAATCACTTTTTTTAACATAATTTCATATGTCCTTCACTAAGGGATGCTGTCTACCAAATTTGGTTGAAATTGGTCAAAGTTGAATTTTCGACCCTTTTGAGCGCCCCTTAGTGGGGCCGTTTTAGACCCGATTTTTTTTCATTCGCAAACTTTGTAGACCTTGCTATAAGGACCCTAAATTTCAAATATGAATTTAATCTGACTGTTGGTTCATGAGAAGAAGATTTTTAAAGATTTACCTAATTTTACCCCCTTTTCCCCCATCCTGCGGCCCCTATTCGGGCCACACCCTTTTTCTTTGCAAACTTGTTCACCAAGTTTGGTCAAAATCTATTCTGTGGTTCTTGAGAAGAAGTTGACTATGTGAAAAGTTAACGACGCATGACGACAGACAAATCATGATGACAATAGGTCACCATGAGCCTTCGGTTCACGCGACCTAATAAAAACAAAAATCTTTTTCTATTCATTTTGAACAATCTTTATTTTTTTCACTGTTACTCATGTTGAAGACATCCGCATGTAGATCATAAAATAGGTGTATGTGATATATATTCTCCATACACACATGATGATGTACATGTACACTACCATGTGCATATTTTATCTACACATAGAGAAGAATACTATAAATAGTATTGCACAACCCAAAAACAGCAATCAAACTAAGCTGGCATGATCATTTGTGACAAACACTGCTTTATGACACAACCATATTAATGGGATACAGAACATTACCGTATTACATACAATAAAATGGGATTACACAGGGTTAGGTACTAATCCTTGGAGTCTGTCCACATTTGTGTAGAATGGATCAAACTGCCCATTACAAACACACAAATACATCCACAGGGTACAAAATAATCATTCACGTTAGGATTTTGGCAAAGTCTTATTTTTTCAAACATACCAGGATACACAAAATGCCCTTTTTCACTTCATCATTATCATCGTACATGTTTTGATCCTTACATAATACATAATATTTTGAAATGTACAATATACACTTATAATCAATTATTAACTTGTTCCACTACAGTAGGGGTTGTGAACATACAGACTTCTAACCTGCAAGACTGGTCTGTACATATTGATATCACTATTAAAATGTTTTTCTCTCACACTTCAGGTGTATCCCTGTTTCTGCAGTATAAGGATCTATCTTTTCTTAGGCTGGGGAAAATTTTTTATGGGTATGTTGACATCAGAAGAGTGAATTTTATAGGACATTTAACATGAGATTATTTAGTTTTCTAAATATTTTTTAACATTTTAAGATTACAAAACTGAAACTTTTCCTGCATAAAAACCATTGGAAAATGATCTTCCTGATCTGTTGTCATTACACTGATATTCTTGACAAGACAAAGCCATTTTAAATTGATTACTACGCACAGTTCTTTTATTTTCTGCAGTTATCTGGTGAGACTTGCTCAGAAAACTTTTTATTAACTTTTTATCAAGGTAAAAAAGTCTAGTTTAAAAACAATCTCATTGTTATGTTGATTCATCTCATCTGAAATATCTGTAAATTTGAAGATGCACAATTATGATAACTTCATACTAAAGGTGCTATTATCACAGCATTGATGAAGATAAAAGTTACCTTAGCTATATATGTATCATCACTGTCGTTAAGGACACAAAAATAATGATTAAGAATATTTCAAGAGTAAAAATTTTATAAAATATCTAAATGATGTTTATTCTTTGATGACGCACATGAAAAAACACACATTTGTCTTCATCACACACTATCAAATGACAGTGTTAGAGATTAAAAACAGTTCAAGTTAGATAACTATTTCTGGTTTCTTGTATGAAAGACAGCCTAAAAGTATTTGGTCCCAAGAAAGTTGGTTCTAAATTTGTTTGAACGATCTTGTATATACAATGTGTATTTTCAGAGAATTTTTTCTTTCTTTCGACCTGTTTTTAGAATGAGACAGGGTAAGGTATTATCCACAGGTATAGATAAGCCCCTGTACGTTAAAAATCTGATCACAAAATTTTGTAGATATTTGAACACTTAAGTGATGACTACAGGGATAAACTGGGATGTATATTAGTGACAGCAGGTAAAGAAACAGGTATAAATATGGTACCACATGATACACAGAGTAATATACAAGAATAAATTAACATGTAAATCCATCATTTCATTATACCCTGTATGAGACGAAATAATCCTTCAATGATCAGTGATATATATTCAGCATTACAGTTGGATGTGGAATCATTTGGAAATGAAATAGAAACAAAATAGTTTTTTCTACCAGGCATCAGCTATCTGAACTGCTATCCTCACGACAAACTAAACTGTGTATGTTCAATATCATATTTAATATGAACATAGATATGATGAACAAATTAAGCAATAATCTCACAAACAATAATGTATATGATGTGCACATTTACTAACAAATATGCAACAATAAGCACCAGATTATCTATACATACATATTATATACAATATTTCTGTACGAATGGTGTACAGTGATTGGCAGGTGCTTGTTTCACTGTTTAGTAAGAAATATCCCCTGTATGTCATTAACCATTGACTAGAAGATGTAACCTTAGGTACATTTATTATAAACTATGGATAGAACACTGGGAAGTGAATGGAACACAACTGAAAAGAATCTCCATCAATAAGCACGTGAATTTCACCTCCAGATAGGTCAAATTGAATTTAGCGTTTAAGTATTGAATTCTGAACATTTAACTGTAAACTCCTTATATAATACTTCAAAAAAAAAAAAAATGTTTTTTCAATCCAGAGTGACATGATATTTAAATATCCAAATGAATATTTCCTTCAAATGGAAACCATTTATATCTATATGGTTTTAAGTACATGTACATTCAGTGTAAAGTTTACACATATAACTCATATAAAAACAATTCAATAACTATATTTCAATTTTTTCAAGTTTACTCAAAGTACAAATTATATCTAAAATGTTTTATATAATTAGTATATTCTTTAATGTGAAAATTTTGTCTAAAGACATACAATGATCCCATTTCAAAAATAAAAATAAGTAATACATTTTCAAGTCTGAAACATAGCTATTGAAGTATCAAATGAAGTAATAAAAAGACGAGGTCTATTAGCCGATTGAAATGTTAACACCGGAAAATCTGTATTTATGATATACAAAAATAAAATGAAATGTTCATCATGAGATTTGTAAAGTATTAGGACACTTCAGATTACATGCACTGGCCAGGACAAAAAAAGGCAGGGGTCAAAGCAGGAGTGATTTGCTAATAAAAATAATATTATAAAAGGAAAAAAAAACAAAAAACATAAAACAATGCTGTTAAAACGTGTTTCTAAATAATCTTCAAGAATTCTTAAAGTCCATGTTGGTCGTTCACCTCATAAAAAATAAAGTGTTCTTTTACCTGAATAACCTGACAAAACTGGAATAACTACAGATAACTCTATACAGGAGTTACAGTAAAATAATGACAATAATTTGTGAGGAAATTCGAACAACCGACTCTGATTAACCGGTAATGCAGCACTTCTGTTGAATTGTCTCTAGCAGTTTGACGTTTACAGTATGCTGTATTCCTCCTCACAGGCTGCCATGTTCAGTTTGAGGTATATAGCACACTGTATCTGTCATAATATGCTTCCGTGTTCAGTTTCAGGTCTACAATATGCTATATCCCTCCTAAAATCTCAGACTGCTAGGTTCACTCTAAGGTATATAGTCCTATGTTATCAAGGTAGGGGAGGGTGGGGAAGGGTTGGTGACTGAGGTGTGCCTACAACTTAATGCTAGTGTAATACAGAGAAGTCTGATGTCTTTGATGCTATGCTATCAAGCCATAATGACTAAGGAAATGTGCCTGAAGTGGCCAGTAAAGCCTTGTACAACTGAGATCTACAGTCCAGTATACTCTGGTTGGGCTGCAGATGCTGGAAGCTGGCCTGTTGAAGCTGCCTGAACACTTGCAGCAGATTGTGACTTCTTCATTCCCTTTTTCTTTACATCCTTCTCTGGTGGTTTGTCACTGTAAAATAGTATAATGCCACAAAAAAATATTATTTTACGTCTTTTAAACATTTATTGTTTCCAAAAGTTCTTCATCACAAAATCTGTATTTAGTTTTCAAAAAGTGCAATCCATGACGTCATATCTAAGCATGAATATGGATGGTCAGTTGACACTCTTTATTGACCATTCATTTATCACTGACATAGCCACAATTTGCTTCCCTAAACATGACAAAATTTGAAGCCAACAGGCAAAAAATAGGTACTTCCTCCAGACGTAAGATGACTGGGGACTGACATGGGTTACACTAGATAGCTGAATTATATGATGCACTCACCTGAAGAAAGGTAAAGCCAGTAGTAGTCTTTCCTTGTTAATTGTAGCTGCAAGGGTGGGTTCTTTCTCTAGGAGGTGGTTGATGACTTTTCTTAGATATGTCTGGAAAACCTTCCGTCTATTCTCCACTACCTTGGTTTCCTTGAATATACAACAAAAGTTTGCAGTAATTTCTATTTCAGATCACATATGTTATGAATATCACAAAGTTTATACAGTCTCCGACAGAATAATACCAATGGTTATTATTAAGAGGCCCAAGGGGCCTGAATCACTCTGCAGGCCAATTTTGCTATTCAGCTATTTGATAAAGAATTTCAATCATGGTCAAGAAGTTACAATATAATATCCCTATTGGGTCCCAGCCTTGTGGTCAAACAGAAGTCAGATTCGCTATTAACAAGGGCCTAAACAGTTACCTGAGTTACAATACTTCTTGTAACATGTCATAGAAATGATTTTGTTGTTTTGTTTATACAAGATTGATTACCCTTCACCTAAGAATGCTTAAGACCAAATTTGGACAATATTGAATTATTCCTACAGGAGGGGTAGGATTTCAAAGAATTTACTCTATTTCCCTTATTAGACCCCACCCCTCCTTCCCCAAGGGGTGGTGAGCCACCATTTCTACAAATCTGATTATCCTTCCCCCAACAATGCCTCAGGTTAAATTTGGACAAAATCCAGCAGGAGTAGGATTTTAAACAACTTGCTCTATGTCCCTTATTGGAAGTTTAAATTACGGATCAATATAATTTTTCAAAAAACAAATGAGCAGAGAATTTATCAATTGATCATATTGTCTAAACTTTCCAGATAGTAATATGAAGTTTACTCTTGTTTTATCTCTGTTATCTGAAATTCAACTATAACACCATTACACAAGAATCTTTTATACTTTTATATGTGGGGGTTGTTCCTTAACACAGACAAACCAGTTTATCCATATTTTACAATATATGGAATGTTGCAGACTTAATTCAGGACAGCACATGTTAATTAAGGCCATCAAAGCCATTTGCCAAGGCTTGTCATGAAGCAAATGACAATAAGTAGGTTCGTCCTTAATTCAAAAATATGCAACATTTTTCAAACTATTTTAAAATCATTGATTTCCATAGGGTTGTTATTTCTAATGATTTCGTGTCTTAATCAACAAATTCATGTGTTCATGAACTGTAATAAACTTTTCTAATTAGTATAAGTAGATTTAAGCAGCTCTATCTATCCCTGAAATCAAGAAAAGAATCATGAAAACTGAATCCCTTGCAAATATATGAGTTTACAGTAATGAAATTCATAAATGAAAACATCTTTGAAGAATGAACATACTAACCTTTCTACCGATGGTTTTCTTCGGTGGGAATTCATATCTACCTATGGCAGGATACTGCTTTTTTAACTTGATGTGAAACTGGTGAAACTCGCTAAATCTTTTGTATGTATTCCATTCTTCATCTTGAATTCTTACATAAATCTGAAAGAGATTCAGACAGCAGTATCGTAACAATTGTAAATCTGTGATGTCTCTTCTACAATATCACTATGTTTTTTGGAATAGCACATGGACTTGGAAACTGAGCTAAACTTTATCTTTTAATTTTCAGAATCCTTGAAAAGTTAATCTAGAACACATCTTGTAAATGATAGGTGTATAAAGGACTTTCGTTTTTTGAGCAACAAATTTAAACAAAAAACTTTGAAGTGAAATGTTGATGACCATGCTGCCATCACACTGCTGAAGCCACCTGTAACCAGGTTCTTACTAGTCTCGTTTTCACACCTTATCATAGCAGACAAGACAATAAGGTTGCTATAATATCAAGGCTTTAACATAAGAAAGATTACCATAATCCTAAGCTGACAAAAGACATCAATGTAGTTTTCTGTAAATTGTGGTAAAACTGTCATTAGCGCTCTCGAATTGATCTCTCATTCTAAAACTTAAATGTTTGTTATCCCTTTATTAAAATGATTTTAGAACACTTTGTCCCTTCTGTCTACTTTTTGAATACCATAACCATAGGTTTCTGGAATTTGAAAAGTTATTGAAAGATTTGAATATATCAATGATGGTTGTGATTTTGAACGAAGGTCAATGTACTTTGTTGGAAGAACATTGACACCTCCGCCATTTCTCTACATCTCACTGCTTGTCATTTACCCTGGGAACTACAAAATTTGATATCTGATATCTAGTCATATAAAATGATGATATTTAGTCATGTATCTCTCACACAAATATAAGGTGACGGAAGAATGTAAGCTGTAGATGTTGTACCTGGTAGACATGATGCTGATCGGATGAGGTTCCCTGGAGGAAAGCTGAAGGGATCCAGATGTTAACTAATGTGTTCAGGTGAAGGGATAAGCTAAAACAGATCAATGTTACTTTTATCAAAGCTTCTTTAACTTTATACAATGAAATTATACAAAATGGTTCCACACCATTCCTTTCAAGGTAACAGTGTTAATTAATTTTCTTTGATATAATATCTAAATTCTTTGATATAAGATCTGTAATTTTCTAGAAAAAGGAATTTTTTGAAAACGCTTTTGCAATAACTTTTAAAGTAATTATTTCTTTGGACAAATTATGACCATGTGCTTCATTCTCTTACCTATCCATGTCCATATTCAGCGACTCATCTGCCAACTGCAGGTCATGTGGCAGCTGAATTATGTAAGACAATTGAGGATGATTTATGACGGTTAGCATGTAAATCATTCCCATACAAAGAACATTTAATAGATCCGATAAATACTATTAAAATCTCCTTTATTGAGAATAGGTATATTGATAAAGAGAGACACTCTTTACTATAAGTTGCTGAGACTTATCACAAGGGATAAAAGAAGATCCATCTCGGGATCTAAACAAAATGTAATCACAAAGGATAAAAAAGTTATCTCCCATGGGGAATAAAAGGTCTATTACAAGGGCTCTTAAAAATATTATCACAAGGGATAAAAAAAGACCCATTACAAGGCATCTAAGAAAAATTATCCAGTATCACAAGGAATTAGAAAAATATATCATATTATATATATCATAAGGGATGAAAAAAGCTCCATCACAAGGGATCAAAAAGGCTCATCACAAGGGGTTATGTAAATCTCTGGAGGTTTTAGAGAGCTTGTGAGACTAATCACTCCAGGAGAAGATAGACACAATGTCTAGAGTGAACTGTTACCTGAGGTAACAGGTAACTGGTCCCAGATATACAATGAAATATACTGAAAGTTTACAAACTGACCGGCCCCCTGAGGTCCACTAACTCTCGCTGGACACGGCGTAACATGGCATCTTTGTTGTTAAGTGTTCGGTGTAACATTTCATTGAACTCCATCAACTCCCCATGCATCTCTGCCACCTGGTACAAACAACATAATGTGGTGAGAACAAAATTCAGTGGTAAGATAGTGATAAAAAGCAAGGTTTTAGAGGTATGACAATGTGTACTGATAAGGTCAACTGATCCTGACAATGTAAGCTAAAAAAGATAATGTCAACTGGTAAATACATTATCCGGTATACATAAGCTAATAAATACAGCATTGACTAGTAGCCATGCTTGAGATGATGGCCAAATTATTAAGGCAATGAAAATTCACATGAAAGCAGCAACCCCATACTGATTTTTTTTATTGATCAAAATCACTTCTGAACATTCACTAATTTGTTTTGTTCAGATTATCATACTGTCAAAGTCCTGGGTCATTTTAGACCCGGTCTCATTACAATAGCTAGTGAGTGCCCCTTTGAATAATATACAGGAAGACTGTCTTATATATCTATACATTTCTTTTAGTGTCTTTGCCAATCGACATAAGCCCTACTGCACCGAGCAGTCTGATTTCTTAGCTTGCTGAGAATCACAAATTGTCTCATTTACATCATTTCATGCAATTTTTGTTCCTCAGTATTGAGCAACAGGATCTGAACATGAATGGAACCTGACTATGATCTATAGGTCACCTTCAGTCCGTCACTTAGCAGTTTTATTAATGTTATACATGAAAACAGATACATTTCAAGGACTGATTTGAGTATTATAAAGGCTGACCTGTATCAATTTCTTCTCATATTCTGATGCCTCGTGACTGTAGTCTACACTAGGTTTGGCTGGTGGTATGTTAGGCTGAGGGTCTTCTAAGTGGATACCTAAGTTGTCTGTAAATCAGAGAGAATATAACATAACAGATCAAAAGTACATTACAATGATTCTTAGTAAAAATGTCCTATGTACTTACTTCTCACCACAGCAAGATATTAAACAAGACAAGAGGTCCACAGGCCTTAACAGTCATCTGACTATAAAGACCTATATATGAAAGAGCCACATAGGCCTAAAATATATTGCTCAACTACTCTACAGCTTACAAAAAAACATTGTTGGTGCATAAAAACATTTTCTGCAAACTTGAAAATCATATTCTTAATACATGCTACTAAATGCCATTACTCTGAACCTATTGGTTCACCAAGAAATTTTAAGATCTCAACTTGCTTAACCCAAGGGATCCTAAATATAGATCAAGGTAAATTATTTTACCAAATTGGTAGCCCTTCATCAACTTATACTAAAGATCCAGTATCAACAGTCTGGATGTTTTTGTTATTGAGAAGATTTAACATATTTGATCCTGTAACCATTAAAAAAGAGGAAATGTCAATCACATGAACAAAAATATTAACCCTTCATCCCAGCTTGCCACACGCCAAATATCAGCCCCTTAATTCTTTTGGTTATTTAAAGTTTTCTAAAGATTTTGATATATTTGACACATGTAACCTTGAAAGTTGGTCAATGTCATCCATTTTAACAAACTTTGAAATCTCCTCAATCCAAGCATGCTACAGGCCCAATATCACCACCCTGGACCTGTTGGTTATTGAGAAGAAGTAATTTAAAGATATATTTGATCCCTGTGACCTTGGAAGTGGGTCAAGGTCATTCATTTTATAAATCTTAGCAGCCCTTCATCCTACAGGCCCAATATCAGAACCCTGGACCTTTTGGTTATTGAGAAAAAGTTATTTGAATGGAAAGTTTACCCATGGCAGACAGTGGACAGCATATGGTGATGGACAAAATACAATGGCTATAGGTCAACTTGACCCTTCGGTTCAGATGTTATATATATACATCAATTTACACAACCACATGTCTTCAGTTCCCTGATTATACATATACAATATTAAGTAATGGTAAATAGGAGGTAATAGACACTCATATTGTTCATAACCAACCATCAATCTGTGAGCCCTCTGCCCTCAACATCTGCACAGCGTTAACATAGCGTCTCAGTTGATGTTTCAGTAATTCATTCTCCCTGTAACAGTGAACAGATGTCAGTATAACCAGAAGAGTTGACACAATATCACTATATATTTAGAGGTACTGATTTAATTAACATTAATGGAAAATATAACTTAAGTAAATGGCACAAAAAAAATTTGAAATCAGAAAAACTAGAAGCAAATTATAAATCAGACTGCATCATAATGCTATTTTATCCCTACAGAACTTGTCAGTGATTTCAAATACCTAAATTGTTGAAACCTTGAAGACTCACTTTCAGTACTTTTAACATGTTTTCTTCTAATTCTGATTTTTTAGAATTCTCTTCATAATTCTACAATATAACAAAAAAATCTGAATTACAGATTTATCTGATTACAACAAATTACAAGTTGAAATTGTTTGTGAAAGCCATAGCTTACTTTTGCAGTGCCTGATATTTTGCTGTCTCCTTCTCCTGTTTAGCTGAAAAACTGATCTTCATATCCTCAATAACTGCCCGTAGTGTGGACGAGGTTTCCATCTCAAGTTGCAGGGTATCCTGTAGACTCCTACAACACAAATTTGCCAAAATAATTAAAGAAAGTACAAGTGTAAAATTACCTTTATTTAGTCAAAAATATGATTTTGTTCTAGTTATAGATATATCTATTACTGTAGTTATGGAGACCATGATATGGAAATTACAGACAAGCAGTAGAACATGATAAGTTAAGAAGATTCAAATCAAGTGTGGATCTCCAACAACTAGATTAAAATTTGGGTATTTGTAACAGAGATCTTTATTCAGTGTCTTTGCTAGGATTTGATTCCAGGATCTCTGACTTACTGGCCAATATGTTACAGCTAGTATTTATCAGGGTTCTATACTCCCCTTCTTATTCTCAAGTTTCCAAGGGTTACAGTGATATTTGTGAAAGTAAAACTAGTATTAATCCAATTCCCTAGTGAGTACCTATGTAACTTAAGTCATTATTTATTTCAGTGCCTCTAGGCCTCTCTAGAATTCAACTCCAAGACTTCTAACTTACTAGTCTGATGTTACATTGATCAAGCTAAAACTACAATACTAAGGAGACTTCCCACAGTAAGTGACCTGAAATCTAACAAGTAGTGGTTATCTACATTTTCCCATAATCACACTGAAAACCTGTCTGAGTTACAGATATTGGAGAAACAGGACTTCACCTATTCTGTTCCTCCACTTCGTCCTTCCTCATCATCATGGACACCACTGCCTGCTTCAGTTCATCTGAAATTAGACACCATATGAGATAAAACTGTCATGTTAGCATTAAGCAAATCCTGAGACTCTTCTACTGGAGATTGGGCTTGTTTGTTTATGCAGACAACTTTTTTGTTAGCACTCTAAATATGATATTTCAGGTATAAGTCAGGACCTACTGGCTAGTATTATTGAAGGGTTTGAAAGGCTTAGTCAGCACTCATCAGAAAGCAAAACTAGATCAGAACAAATGAACATACCTGGTCCAACTGATAAACGAATGCAGTCTAATGTGCTGTGGGGACATCATGGGACATATATAATATAAACATTGAAAGATTAGTCTTACTTTGAGAAGCTTACCTGTTGACATGGCATCTTTCTTTGCCACCACATTCACATTACCACCATCACCTTGGGTACGGTAGCTGAAACATATATCATCAAGCACTTGTGAAAATGGTAGCTAGTGTCAGTAAAACATTGTAACTGTAATGGACTTTATAACTGACAGATTTATGAGTGATCCTGAGTTGCTATTGCTGTGTGGTTGAGATTTCAATACCCTGGTATGAGTCCATCCTTTTATGTTACAGCTACAGAAAACAACTACATGTATTACAAAATGTCGGAGCATGTTGACAGGTGTGTGGAACAATCAAGTCTGCTTACCTGTGTGCTGTTCCCTGTTGAGCCAGATCAAGTGCACGGGCTGCTGAAGCTATGTCCAGTCCTCCATACTTCTGACCATCAGAAGAGTCCACTATCGAAAAAGAACATTAATTTGTCATCATGTGTTTCAGTCTTTTCATCTCTTTTAAAGGAGCACTTATCAACATCTTATACCTTTTGAAACAGTTTTTATTTATTCATACTGTTTTTGTGTATATGGACTAAATCTGTTGAAGGGGTCATGAGATATCATCTACATCAGTTTTAAGCTACAGACACACTTCGGCAAACAAATTATCAATATTGTTTACCACCTGTAGTATGTGCTGTTGTTGTTATCCTTTTTTTGTGGGGGAGGGGGGTGTTAAAAGATGAAATAAATAAACAAAATATTTCAATTGTACCTGATGAACTTAGGTTATGTTCCAAGGTTACAGGTGACGCAGAAAGGGTTACAGGATTTCCCGCAGGATTCAAAGGTATCAGGTTGCCATGGTCACTGCAATTAAATACCCAGTGAAATTGTTCATATAACATATATACATGTGTGTATAATATTGGGAATTGTTTCAGATTTGGTTAGAAGTTAAACTAGACTCACATTATATCTATCATACTATCTACATGTCTGACAATGTTACTTCCAGTTTGAGAGTAAAGGAAGTGCCGCATTAAACATAGTTTCAAGTCAATCACAGTTAAAATTTTAGATATGAAAACAATTCAGGTAAGTAATAAAAACAATAAACAATGCCATATATTATAACTTACATCACCTACATATGCAAATGAAAGTATTCATATCCATAATGCATTTGTTCTATCAGTAAACAATTTGTGGTAATTCTTATGAAGCAATATCAACAAAGTCGGCTGTATATGTACCAACTAGTTAGTTATCACTTAAACTTTGGATTTTGCTAATTCAGAGACTTTCAGTCCTAAAATCTAATTTAATAAAGTATTACTATTTCCAAATTAACCACTTCCAATGTGAAAGTTATTTTTTATTATATAACTGATCACAAATACCTTAACTCAAAGTCAGCTGAACTGAAGGAGCTGTGACTATTCTGTCGATCATTAGATGTCCCCGATGTAACACTTGGTTCTCGGCTGTACAATAGGTACCTCTGTGAGGAAGTACCATTAGTTGGTGCCTTCAGCAAGGGCATCGTTTGCTTTTGAGGTTCACTGTCATTGTTTGTGTCAAATGATCTCCTTCCCACTGTTGCCCCATTGTCAAACTCTGACTGATCTACTTCAGATAGGTGTGAAGCACTATATGTTCCAGAATCATCCTCATCAAAACTCACAATGTTGGCCATTTTCTTTTTCTTCTTTTTGTCTTTTTTCTTCAGTAATTCTGTTAAGCATAATCCGACATTTCATAAACTATGATATTTACATATACATATATCTGTAAATTGTACATATACTCAAACTACTGCTTGGTATATACATATATCTGTAAATAGTAAATATACTCAAACTACTGCTTGGATGGAAATGGAGCTAAATGTATATTAAAACCAACTCCTCAGCTGATGCAGTTTGCTGTGATCTGCATTACTTATGATAGTACTCCCTGAAGTTTGATCGTAGTTGAACTCATAGTATATGAAAAATGGAGATAAACTTATAACCTAACCAATAGGTCACTTAGGAGGATGGACTGACAATAAATACACTTCATCAACTATTTATGTTTCCATCAAAACCAGCAGAAAAATAATACATGAATTAAAATATGCATTGATCAGATTGATGAGCTAATGATTTGTATTTGTTTCATATTGATGATTTTACTAAAATTTATTATAAAATAAAATGAAAACATTGTAAAAATGATAGTACCTGTTCCCTTTAATATACTACTCTATTGATAGGAATTTAACAAACCTGAGAAACAAACAGTCTTAGAAATAAATAACAATAGGGAGATAGAGCAAATCCTTTCCATTCCTATATCTAACAATCCCGGTAAAGAAGATCGTAAACAGCATTATAAGGAGTATTAAAACAGTGTAACTGACCTGAGGAAGTGGTCGGGCTTTCCTCGCCAGCAATGACAGGACGTGGCTCATCATCTACCCTGGGAGGTGACTTTGCCAAAGCAGTAGGGACTGTGATAACATTGGTAGTGGGCTTTCTGATATTGTTCAAATCAGCATTATCTATGTTGATGGCAAACAGGATTGATCCCAGACCTGTAAGGTTTCAAAAATGTACTATCATGTCAAACACCAAGGACTTCATTCTACAAGTAATCTATATGAAAGGACCACCAAAATGCAGATTCCCAACAGATAGTCCTTTCTTTGCCAATATGGTCTCGCAATACATCTAAACATTAACTGATCATAATTTAAATGGTGGTTACTCAAGTCAAAAATATATTCAATCGCAACAGGTTTTTCATAAATATTGCACAGATTTTCATCTATGACCATTCATACTATCTTAAATTTAACCTTAATTTGCAAGGAAGGAATTGATTATGCATTGTAACACTATACCTGCAGCCATCATTGGCATCATGCTGCTCCTTTCCTGGTCACGCAGAAATGCCCAACTTTCATAGAACTGACTGCAATGACACAAATATCAAATTTGTTGTATAAGTACTGAAAGCAGACAAAGCCAAAGTTCTGACAAAGATATAGTGCTACAACATGAAACTTTACATCAAAGTACTGTCAAAGTTGCTCAACTTTCCTGTGGTTCTGTTTTATGCTCATTCAAGGGTAGAATAGTTTGTGAAAAACTGATACCTTCACAATTAAATTCTTAAAGGAAACAAGAGTCTGTTTTATCACTTCCAATTTGCTTGTCAAAACATATAACCTTTACAGTATCTTGTACATCTTGTACAAACTTTTAATTAATATCCCCTGGTATATCTTCTTTCTCTGTCATATACCTTCTTCATATAGTATTAAAAAGATGATTATTTGTCAAAGATGTTCATTGGAAATCACTTATCTTATTTGTAATCAATTAATAAGAGTAGCTGATTTTCGTATTTCAAATGCAAGCTGATCATTGTACCAGGTAGATGCTATCTGTGTCTCAATGACTGCTCAGTTTTGTGATAGCTTATAAATGTTAATAAAATTATCAGTAAATCAGTAAAAAGACATACTCTAACAGATACAAAAATAAGTTCCAACCTGAGTAGTTCCTCACTCTCAAGGAGCATGTGAGTGTATCTTTCTAGAGAGTGTTCATTTAGGGAAGCCCTTAGCCATGCCCTACCACGCCCTGAGTCTGTGTTAATGCTCTGAAGCTTCATGAATCTATCCAGCTCGTGTTTGGTCAGGTGTTCCTTCACATACTGCCAGAACACTACAACATACAATACACAATATTCATACTATATTTCATCAATGGCAGAGTACCCTATTGGTACCATTTCCTATGTTATAATGTTCTATATAAGGATATAACATTAATGTGTTTCAAAAATGCTCCACAAAAAGGCCCTATTCAAAGTGCAGATTCGTGGGTTTTCTTTTTTATTTCTTAAATTCTTGTCAAAAGTGTACCATAAAAATTAAGGCCACATTCTTAAAAGTATTAAGCAGACTCCCACATCTTCACTTATATTTTCTATACTTTTCTACTTTTCAAACTTTCCATCCATGTACTGCCATATCTTAGTGCCTGAATCATCACCCACCTGCCTCTGACTCCTTATTGGTGATGTCATTGAACATGTCAGTGACTTTGCTGAGACCAGTAATCTCTGTCACCTGTCTGTAATATAATACATAAAATACTAACATCATAAAGGGTTTGTGCTATTGTATATATATATAAAAAAAAAGATTTCTCTTTAATATGTAACAAATGAAAATAAAACTAATTGTATCCTGGATATTCATTGTCCCAATTTCCAAAACCTTTTCAAATCAAAATCTGCAGTCTTCCTAACAATTCAATATCTCCTATATGCAAGTTTATCTATCACAGGTATACAGCACACAAATTATAAAGAGATAAGGCCTGATACTAGATCTATAGCAAAATATGGCAAGAAATCTCTACACCAGTGTTGTGTTCAATAACTTCCCTGCTTTCAACTTGAACAAGTATGGATATACTGGTATGTTAAAAGTGTGCAAATCTCAACATTATTAAGCATGAAAATGTCAAAATTCCAATTAAATATTAATTCGAAAACTTTTACAATGAAAGGAGAAGTATGACAAGGCTGAATTTGACAATAATTACAAACATCTAATTAGTTACAAGAGATAATTAGACCGTAGTGTATTTATACCCATGGCCTAGTGGCCACTTGACCACTTACTTGAGGGCTAAGATAGCCTTGTTACTCTGTCGCATTCCATGCTGGAGACCAGTCTCCCAGGCAGCACACAGACAGGAAACTCTGTACAAGGAACAGAAAAAGTCAACATTGCAAAAAAACAAGAGATCTCCAAGGGATCTTGGTGCCCACCATTGTTTGATTTTTATTTGCTCTTTGAAAGTTGGATCTTTTCCCTTCTCTTCCCTTTTCTCTTCTGTTTTTGCTCTGAATGATAAGACATTTGAACATTCCTTTGCAGAAACAGCGATGACAATCTTTACCTGTCAAATCCAAAATGGCCACCTGGAAGCCATTTCTGATCAGTCCCAAAATCAAACGAGCAAAAGGAGAGACCAAAGGGAACATATGTATGAAATTTGAGAGATATTCATTAAGCACTTTTTAAGAATTAGCAGTAACAATCTTTACTAGGCAAAATCCAAGATGGATGCCTGTCGGCTTTTTTGTTTTTCTGATCAGTCCTAAACTCAATCTGGCAAAACTAGCGATCAAGGAAAGCAATCACATGAAATTTGAAAAAGATCTTTGCTGTAATTCTCAAGAAATAGCGATGACGAACTTTCAAAGTCAAAATCTACCACTATGTCTGTCAGCCATTTTGTTTTTCTGATCAGTCCCAAAATTACATGGACACAACAAGAGACCAAGGGGAACCTACATATGCAATTTGAGAGAAATCCATCCAGGACTTCTCAAGAAATAGCAATAACAAAAATAGTTTTCTGACGGAGCACGGACACAGAGCGATTTGAATAACCCATCATCATCAAATCATGATTTGACTTCTGCAGCATTTTATTGTTATTTTCAAAGGAAGACTGTGCTACATTATACATTATATATGTTGTTATAAGTGTATATTTTACCTCATGTAAAATGTGGTTTGAATGAAAACTATGTTATGACATTTATTCTACAATAAGAATGTCAACAGTAAGAAAGTTGATTTCTTTATTGATTTACCTGCTGTCTGCATCAGCAGCCAATTCTGTTCTCCCACCAAATCGTACTTGGCACTGTAATAAATGATAACAGTAAACTCCAACACTGTACTGAAAGGGTGTTATGGTCCTTTATCTTATACAATGTAACTGACCTCCAATTAGTTGCTCCAAATTTAATGTTTTCTTTACTTTAAAATTGGATAACATTTGCATTTCGACTTCTGCTAATCCTGTATTTCCAGTCTATGTAATAAGGATGGTTAATAAACAGTGAATTTTAAGGGTTGAGGGATTTCAGTATCACATTCATAGCCTTTATAGTGAATGATAACTATAAACAAGAACAATGATCATTTCTTTAACAGTGAAAGCCATAAAAGACAAAGAAAAAGAGGTTTAAATCTCCTACTATTAGTATACGTTGTATTATTACTATACAAACATCAAGTCTAGCTTACAACTTGCTGGCAGCATTCTGCAATAAACCTGTATTATGTGAAATATGTCTTGTATACACAAAGGCCTTTAAGTTAGTAAGATAACAGGATTACAATACATGTATTATTGGCAATAGAAAGTATGAAAAGGAACTTATATGTCTAACACTGTATATCAGTATATCACACCTGTCTGTTTGACAGCATTTAGGAGTCTGATCAGTACTTAAGTTGAAAGATTTTAGAGATACAAAACAGTTCAAAATTTTACATATTTACTATTTGTTTGATTTCGTCTGTAAGTTTCATCTAACAATTTGATACCCCATTTGACAATATCAAGGAATCTGTTGTTAATATTTGATAGAATACCTGTTTGACAGCATCTAGGAGTCTGGTCAGTATACTTTGTCGCTCATTCACATGAGGATCATCCCCTGTACAGAAAGTCAAAATAACATATATGAAGTTTTCATCTAAAGTTCGTATTATAGACAATTACATTTTTTTTGGAATAAAACATGCTGATATGCAGAAAATGTTTTATAATCATTGCCTAAAGTTTATATTACAGTATACCCCTTATCCTTTCATATTTAAGCATATATAATGCACATACAAGGTGACGCCAAACAAAATAATCCTATGAATGTTATTTTTGATCAATGACTTTTTTAAATGTCACACCTTCAAATAGGATTCTTTGTGTATTTTAAAGTTCTATTATTGGTACCCCTGGTCTATCAATGACAAGCACATTATATTTGCTAGCTGGTTTCCACTAATCCACCTCACGTCACCGACCATCGGGTTGTGTCAGTAATTTGCACCTGTAGCTACATGTGGCGTCTGGACTTCCGAGGACATCCAGAGCAATGTGGCTAATCTGTGGTTCTGCCCTGCACCCAGGGGTATCCTTAGTTTTGTTACTCTACACACTCATGCTTGCATGACTTCCTCACCTGTCACACCTGGACATGTACATGTCTCAAAGACAACACCATATAAGGACAGACACTGACAATACCTAACAGGTAACACACCAAATAAGGACATACATGTAAAGACATGGACAGTAACGAATACAAATTAGACAGGACGTTTACAGACACTTATGTACTTAGTGACACTTACTACTATTTAAACTGTGACATAAAGGCAAATGAAAAGCAACAAAATGGGACTAATCCTATACCAATGACTGGGTTACGATAGTAGAACTAGTTATAGCTGGTATTTGTCTTTAGTTCAGTGGTTCCAGGTTTGAGAATGTATTTGAAGTTTTAAGGTCCTCATTTTTTGATATCAGTATTAAACCTTAAGTTTGGAAATCCCTGGTTTGAGATTTTACATTGAGTTAAGAGGCCCCTGTTTTGATAATCCATCTTGATTTTGGAGATCCCGTCTGGTTTGAGTATATTGAGTTTAGAGGTACCTGGTTTGTGTACCTATCTTGAATAAGGAGGTTTCTGGTTTGAGTATACGTAACACTCTGGAGTTTGGAAGTCACTGTTATGAATATGTATCTTGAGTTGTGAGGTTCCAAGTTTGAGTATCCGTCTGCAATTTGGAGGTCCCTAAATCTCTTGAGTTTGGAAGTCATTGGTATGAATATGTATCTTGAGTTGGGAGATCCCAAGTTTGAGTACATGTCTTTAATTTGGAAGTCCCTGGATCAAATATGTATCTCAAGATTGGAGGTCCTTTGTTTTATTATCTATCTGTCTTGAGTTTGGAGTTCCCTGGTTTGTGTATCTATCTTGAGTTTGGAGGTCCCTGGTGTGAGTACCTCTTTTGAAGCTTGGAGGTCTCTGGTTTGAGAACCTCTTTTGAGTTTGAAGGTCCCATGTTTGACAATCTATCTGGAGTTTGAGGTCCCAGGTTTGAGTACCTATCTTGGGTTCAGAGGTCCTTGGTTTGATAATAATCAATCTTGTTTAACAATTATACGTTGAGTTTTGGAAGTCTCCCATTTCAGAATCTGAATTTGTTTGGAAGTCCCTAGTTGTGACATTCCGTAGCTTTGAGTCCTTTTAATCTTTATGACTGAATATACTTTGTACAAGTAATATATTGTATAGTAATGTAAATCACCATATGGATCTAGATTGAAAGTCTCCCTTTCTTCTGCCATGAAACGATGCAGTGAGGTTTCGGTAACCAATTAGACTACCATGATTATGAACACCGACAATCAGCTGAATGTTTTCATTTGTAGATTTGTGATCAACTTTAGCTAGTAGATTCGCCTTTCTAAAGTGACAAGTCGTGATATACGTACCATTCATTCTTGTAGGTCCATGCAATTATGGGCATTCATCTATAATCTGACATTCAAATATGAATTTAAACAACTAAAACACTCAGCATCTCGTTATTTGTTTTGACTTTTACACTGCGGTGCTTCCCCTTTGGTCATGGTCTGTCATGTGACTTAGGAGAACCGGAACTTCCGGTAGGCCTCTTTTTAGACGGTAAGTGAAACATGGTAGAACGTGAAAAATCCGCCGATGTAAATCTGTGTTCATCCTACTAATAAAAGAGAACATGTTAACTTGACTGAGCACCTTGCTTGGACATATATTACTAAGTAATTTCGTTGTCTTTTCTGCACGATGAATTACCATTCTTTTTGTAATTTCAGCCTTCAAGATGGGGCGACGACCAGCTCGTTGGTAAGTTTGTTTTACTGTAAAATGATGTCTTTCAGGAATAGACAAAATGCATTTGACAGTTTCGGTTGATCATTATTAAGCTAACATTATAATCTCAATTATAAGTTACTATTTTGATCTTTCATCCATTTCATTGTTTCAAAAGTATTGCAATGTTTACATTTTGGTTACTGCTTTACAAATTAAAAAAGTTCGATACCAGCAATCTAATTCTTCATCCCATTAATATATACTTATAATTACATATCGATGGTGTACGCACGTCACTTTATCGCGTCGCGATATTAATTTTACATATCGACATGTTTTTCCAGTTACAGATATTGTAAAAACAAGCCATACCCCAAGTCAAGGTTTTGTCGTGGTGTCCCAGGTAAGCAACGTGGATGTACTATATACATTGAAGAATACTGTTTTGGGAGGTTCATATATAGGTAGCTTATGCACAAGCACTTTCATCCACTATTTATGTGACTTTCAATAATATATTTCAAACGTTACTGTTTAAGCAATTTCGTTTGTTTACTAACCAATCCACACGCCAACAGGGGAATAATGTAATAGACAATCTAGCTGTTTAAATCATGTGAAATGAAAAACTTGCTGTTTGATGTCCTTGAAATGATGTTCAGAGCTCCTCCATAGCAACAAATTTGTGTAATTCTCGCTTCTTACTTCAAAGTTAAAATTGTGATTAAAATACTTTACTAAACTATTATGCACCAAAATGAACACTGGTTTCATCTCTCTACAAACCAAAGTTCCTCAGTATTTGCTAGAATTCTCAACCTGCTGCTCTATTCAGTTTCTTTAAATGCAGAAGTTCCATCATTCATAGAAAATGGATTTTTGAAAGAACTAACAGATTGGTTGACCAAAAGTAGGGTGGCCAATGATCAATTTACAATTTATTGTTATGAGTCCCTTTTAACTATAGAGTATTTCCAGAAATTTTATGAGCACTATCAAAATTTTACGAGAATGGGACTTGGGATTCGCATGTAGCTTGATCACTGCCTGTGAAGTCTTGTATATAGTTAACAAAGTAGTCAACAGTAGATCTGAATGACATCTCACAGAGATCAGTTAAAAGCTCAACAACTTTGGCTCTGGCCTTTGACAACATCAAACTTTCATTTTAGTATATATTAAAAAAGGAGCATGACATGAACATGTGCCCTTACTCTTTGGAAGAATCCTTTGTCGACCCACGAACCCTGTACATTTATAAGTCTAGTTGAAAGGAATGTCATTAATATTCAGTCAGACAAAAAAAACTTGCCTCTCTATGGTAATGAACTGTCAAGACTGAAATTATTGCATAATACTATACTCTATAACCACCTTAAATACCCCAATAGGCACTTGCATCAAACTTTTTACCTGTGTATAACTACATACCACATATCCATCTCCCACATTTACTGTACCAGTGTCTATTTGATCTGGCACCTTGACTTTGTATGCACACTATATATTGCAGTTTTTTCAGTGTACCACAACTATAATATATTGCAAGATACAAGAGTGACACAGTTAATTTTGTGATTTAGTTCTAGAATGTCAACACTTATTCTCCAACATGAGATACATAGGTGATGAACTAGTATTAAAAGATGTTTCTAACCCATTATCTGGATGTGTTGACCTGCAGATCCCAAGATCCGTATTTTTGATCTTGGCAAGAAGAAAGCCAGGGTAGACGAGTTCTCACTATGTGTGCATCTGGTATCTGATGAGTATGAACAGTTGTCATCTGAAGCACTGGAAGCAAGCCGTATCTGTGCCAACAAATACCTTGTGAAGAACTGCGGCAAGGATTCTTTCCATTTAAGAATGCGAGTGCACCCCTTCCACGTTTGCAGGATCAACAAGATGTTGTCGTGTGCTGGAGCTGATAGGTAAATTTTGTTGCAGCTTTTTTCTCTCATTCAGAAATGAAAAGTGAAATGCATCTGTTAGTTACTTAAGAAAATTAATCTTGTTAACTTATCTTGATATCATGTGTCCCAAAGTGACATTTTATTTGACAATTAAAGTATATTTATTCTATATAGGATATTGACAAATTTATTGAGATCAATAATAAGCTATCTTACATCTCAAAGCATTTGTGAATGCTGATGCTAACAAGTTTAAGAAAGTATTAAACATACTGATATTCAACTTATGACAGAAAATTCAAGAGAAAAATCTAAATGCTCTTTGCCTAATACTTAAAATATCAAATGTGCTCTATATTTCTGTTTCATAAAGGTGTTAGTATAAATGTATCCCTAATCAAACTTATGCTGGTTAAACATGAAATTTCCAGGCTTCAGACAGGGATGCGTGGTGCCTTTGGTAAACCTCAAGGAACAGTTGCACGTGTGCACATTGGTCAGCCAATTATGTCATGCCGTGCCAGAGAAAGCAACCAGGCTGCTGTCATTGAGGCCCTCAGGAGAGCAAAATTCAAGTTCCCAGGCAGACAGAAGGTATCAACAATTTTTGGAAACTTAACCAATTTAAGTGTTGTCATTTTGCAGTCAAGCAGTGCCAGCTCCAAATCAACAAATATTGTTTATTTGGCCGTTCTTCTACTGCAATAGTAACACTTTGGTCGCTATATCAGCTCATTGTATCTCTTGATCTGATACGTTACCTCAGTTACAATTAAATTATCAAAGTCGGGCTGAAACAATGATGAAATGGAGTATCCAAATTGTTTAAAAACAATATACACAAAAAATTGGAGTGAGGGGTTACAAATATTTCTATTCAAGTTGAAAACCTTTTATATTTGACCATTTGGGGGAAATGAGTAATTTAAACCTGGGATAAACTTTCCTTTTATGTAATAAAGTATACAGAAATCAACACCTATTTAGCAGTACCAGCTCCAAATAAATCATCTTATTGTTAATTTTATCGTTCTGTTGCTGCAATATAAATAATTTGGTTGCTAAATCAGCCCACTTATATTTGTGCGCTTGTTAATTTAACTTTGTGACATCTCTATTTTTTCAGTGATATTAATTTTTTTCAAGTGAAAAAATGACACAAAACATCTTCAAGTATATAGATATGATGTATAAAATTTTTAATTGCTATACAATACATCCACAGGCACTGGCCTCATCTATCAATATTCTCGTCATATAATCAAGGATATTCAACTTCCTTGACCAAGTAAAACCACAAAGTTTCAGGAAACGAGTGATTGCCTCTGATCCATTCAAGATTTCTTGATGGGAATGGTCTGAATTTACAGATAATAGATTTTATGCCAATTTTTACATATGATTCAGCATATTTTGTGCCATTAAACTGAGATCAGATTTCTGCAAATACTGTTCAATTTCAGTTAAGAAGGCAGTTATCTGGCAGGGAATTTGGACACTGACACCCTATAGATTAACTTTAAAAATACCTTCACATGACATGTACTTTATCGAACTTTAATACAGTGTGAAAGTAATCATAATCCTTAAGCTTATCCTGTTCAGATTTAATACTTTTGATACACTTTATTATTGAAGCCACCATTTCGGCTTGAGAAACTGGAAATCAACACCAAATTTTCAAAATGGGGACTATCAACACAATGTTTATGAAAGTGTAAAGGTCATGTCCATTTTCCAAAATTGAAATGTCAGTAACACCAAAACTGTGTAACTGATTTACTCAAAAGGTTTAGTTACAATCACATTTCTAGGCCATTGGAGTTCCAAACCTTCATTAATACAGAAGTATATTGGTAGACCAGGCTAGTACCTGTGATTCATCAGTCTTTTAAAAATCTTCATCAATTTAAGGGTATGAATATTGCCCAGAGCTATTGAATATCAACACATGAATGGGCAACAGAAAATGTCAGGGATATTGATTGAATGTTGTAAAGCAGTACCAGCTCCAAATTGACATGTATTGTTAGTTTGATCGTTCTACTACTGCAATAGTAACACTTTAGTTGCCATATCAGTCCACTTCTATTGGTGGGTTTGTTAAATGACTTCAGTCACATCTAATTTATTATTGCATTAAATCAGTATGTAATGTCTCTTGATGGAATAGTTTCAGAACAGGCATGTACATTAATGCAACTGTGATAATGTAGTAATCAGCTCCTTATAACATCTAGTTATCGTTTTGATTGAAATAACCGCCTGTGTAATAAGCATTGTTTTCTGTTTATTCTTGTTATTGATTTACAAATGATGTTGCAAATCTAAAGAGGTGATAAGAAGTTATATATTCTTGTATCTCACCCGGACTTCTTGGCAGTCTTCTTATAAAGCAGTACCAGCTCCAAATTGACAAATATTGTTAGCTTGGCCGTTCTACTACTGCAATAGTAACACTTTAGTCGCTATATCAGCTCGCTGTACATTCAAGTGATTTGATACGTAACTTCAGTTACAATTAGGATAATGGTTTAATTACAGTCACAATGCTAGGCCATTGAAGTTCCAAACCCTCATTAGTATAAAAGCGTAGTGACAAACAAGGCTAGTACCTGTGATTTACCAGTCTTTTATAAATTTAAGGGTATGAATATAGTCCGGAGCTGTTGAATATTAACACATGATTAAGCAGTTGATGATTGTAAGGATATGGATTGAAAGTTGTAAAGCAGTACCAGCTCCAAATTGACATGTATTGTTAGTTTGATCGTTCTACTACTGCAAGAGTAACACTTTAGTTGCCATATCAGTCCACTTCTATTGGTGGGTTTGTTAAATGACTTCAGTCACATCTAATTTATTATTGCATTAAATCAGTATGTAATGTCTCTTGATGGTAAAGTTTTTAGCTCCTTATAACACCTAGTTATTGTTTTGATTGATATAACTGCCTGTGTAATAAGCATTGTTTTCTGTTTATTCTTGTTATTGATTTACAAATGATGTTGCAAATCTAAAGAGATGATCAGAAATTATATATTCTTGTATCTTTATAAAGCAGTACCAGCTCCAAATTGACAAGTATTGTTAGTTTGATCGTTCTACTACTGCAATAGTAACACTTTGGTCGCTATATCAGCTCATTGTATCTATCCAAGTGATTTGATACGTAACCTCAGTTACAATTAGGAAAATTTACGAGTATCTGATGTGTAAATAATGCTCTAGATATTAATGAATTTGAAATTGAATTAACCTCTGTTTACATGTATTACCAAAACAGAAACAGATTAACATTTTAGCCAGATCATATCTTCAATATGGTAATCACACTGTAGCCATTTAGTAACATGATTGTGCAACTGCTTTCCATGAACAGAACCCACTCTTTACAAGATTCTAATACTTTCTAGAAATGTATAAAATTGAATTCGTCAGATTTGTTAGACCACCATCATCAAATACTGTGGTCTGTCTGTCCATTCATCGACGGTCAGATGACTGTTAAGAGCCATTGCCCTGTTGGAATTCTGTGCTAATAGTTTATGGCTAATCCACCTGTTCTCTCTTTTTGCAGATCTTTGTCTCCAAGAAATGGGGCTTCACAAAGTGGGAGAAAGATGTATATGAGGAGATGAGACAAGATGGACGTCTCATTCCCGACGGTGTCAACTGTCAGTACAAACCAAACAAGGGTCCCCTGAGTGCATGGAAGTCCCTTACTACTGCTCGGCTGTCGTGAAATCTTTTCACATAAATTATAAAGACAAACCAATCCTGTGATTAAAATCTGGACACCAGGATATTTTCTGTTTTTGCCTTTTCTTTTTATGAAATTTTGATATTTTGCAATGAATATCCATCAAGATAGTTGTAACACAACAAGCTGAATGACGATGGATGGTCTCAAAAGTTTTATTGGCAATTCAAATGTAGATCTGATGCTGAGATAGTTCAATTTGTCAAAAGAATATACTAATAGGATTAGTAGATATCGGTATGTCCACTGTAAATACAGTTTTCACACCCAGTCTACCAGATATTACACATTGACCAAATTAATCCTACAACCAGTCAGCCACAGATTACCAACTTCTGTATCCGAGATACACAGAAATATGGTGTGCATTCATAATTCACAACCGGTCTACTAGATATTAGGTATTGATGAAATTAATCCTACAACCAGTCGGTCAAACATTACTATAACCTAGGAAACTGCAAAGTTGTGTGTGAATTTCGAATGAGCTCAAATCTCGTTACACAAGTAGTCTTATCTGCAATAGTTTCAGTCTATTATGACGAGCATGTAGACATAATGAATATGATCGTCATTAGTCAGTTTGATAGTACAGACTTTTTTGTTTTTTTATCCTTATGGTATTTTTACACAACCATGGCAGGTATAAAACTTCCTTCAGATATGACATTTATACAAAGGTCATCCACCTTGTGCTTCATTCAGTGTCGGTTCATGAGATCACTGATGATGCCAGTACCTAGTGCCTTTTTTATTTCAAAAACAATTAATTGAGCACGGCCATTTTCACTCTCCAAAATGTATAAATTCATCTAAAGTTTTCTCTGAAAAAAATAAATACTATTTTCATCTCTGAGAAAAAAAACATTGAAATATCCAATAACATTTTTTCTAGTTTTCAAATCCGAGACTGCAGTGACATGTGCATACCTAGGGAACATTCATAAATGGAAGACATTTGCTATTTAGGAAGTTACTATATGTTTATGGAAATAAGTATTGGTCAGAAATGAAAACCTAGAAGATATATATATATATACAATGTTCTGCCTCTGTGTTTCAAGTCATTTGTAAAATGTGATGAAATTGCATCTTATTTATTCCAAAATATACTAAAAACTAAAAACACTTGTAAAATATTGTTACCATCATCAAAATATTTCATTTTAAGAGATTTTTGAAAATGATTCAATTCTACCTAATGTCAATAATACTGATAAATATCGTCTTTGTCATGATAGACTTTGTGTTGTTCCAATAGCAAGATCTCTTATACATGATTGTATTGTGTGTTTCTCTCCAAAAATTATGTCTGAATGGAACAAACCATCTAGTTTATTTCCTACAATATCATCCATTAGTGCAATAAAAAAGATGCTTATTTCAATCATTGCTGATGTTCAACACGGTGCACTTTTATTTTTAAAGTTAATTCAGACATGAAGATAACTTTAAATTTATGTAAATTGAGAAATTAGTTAATTTCCACCATAGAAATAGCCTTATCTACTTGTGGTCATCTGGTACTTTCTTCATCAACCAAAGGAACTTGAGTGATCGTATTCCTATAAATATTAAAATATTTCTTGATACTGAAATAGGCTAGATGCAGTTATGAATAAATCTGTTCTCGAGTTAATTCGGAGATTTATTAACAATATCTGGAATGTCTCATTCATACAATGTTGTGTCAAGTTTTTGTCGGTTATCTATATGGGTTCAGCACAACAGGTTGAGTGTGTATGGAGGAGTTGTCTGTGCTTCACTCCAATAAAGGTGAATTTGGACCAATTCCTTTTGTAATCGTTCAGTGATATCTGATTGTATGGCTGTTTCCATTTGACGTCGGTCGCAGATTTATTCCAGCTCATTGACAGTAACAACTGAGAATGTTAGGAAAAGGCTGAATCATCAGCCATGTAGAAACTGGTTGAGGCCGCAGAATGAACCAGATGCTGGACATAGCAACATCTGAATGCTGGAAGGTGGCATCTAAGAAGTAGTGACCCACAAAGTGGAGGATGTCGTGGCTCAAGGTTAAAACATCAGGGGATGTCTGATACCAGGGGGTAGTTAGGTGAAGGGAGCTGACAATTATACACCAAGGGGCAGAAGTAACCGCATGTCAGGGGGTAGTTAGGTGAAGGGAGCTGACAATTATACACCAAGGGGCAGAAGTAACCAGGATACCAGGGGGTAGTTAGGTGAAGGGAGCTGACAATTACACACCAAGGGGCAGAAGTAACCAGGCATGTACAGAGGATGCCAGATACCAGGGGGTAGTTAGGTGAAGGGAGCTGACAATTTTGCACCAAGGGGCAGAAGTAACCAGGCATGTACAGAGGATGCCAGATACCAGGGGGTAGGTGAAAAGAGCTGACAATTTTGCACCAAGGGGCAGAAGTAACCAAGCATGTACAGAGGATGCCAGATACCAGGGGGTAGTTAGGTGAAGGGAGCTGACAATTACACACCAAGGGGCAGAAGTAACCAGGCATGTACAGAGGATGCCAGATACCAGGGGGTAGTTAGGTGAAGGGAGCTGACAATTACACACCAAGGGGCAGAAGTAACCAGGCATGTACAGAGCATGTACAGAGGATGCCAGATACCAGGGGGTAGTTAGGTGAAGGGAGCTGACAATTTTGCACCAAGGGGCAGAAGTAACCAGGCATGTACAGAGGATGCCAGATACCAGGGGGTAGTTAGGTGAAGGGAGCTGACAATTTTGCACCAAGGGGCAGAAGTAACCAGGCATGTACAGAGGATGCCAGATACCAGGGGGTAGTTAGGTGAAGGGAGCTGACAATTTTGCACCAAGGGGCAGAAGTAACCAGGCATGTACAGAGGATGCCAGATACCAGGGGGTAGTTAGGTGAAGGGATCTGACAATTATACACCAAGGGGCAGAAGTAACCAGGCATGTACAGAGGATGCCAGATACCAGGGGGTAGTTAGGTGAAGGGAGCTGACAATTATGCACCAAGGGGCAGAAGTAACCAGGCATGTACAGAGGATGCCAGATACCAGGGGGTAGTTAGGTGAAGGGAGCTGACAATTATGCACCAAGGGGCAGAAGTAACCAGGCATGTACAGAGGATGCCAGATACCAGGGGGTAGTTAGGTGAAGGGAGCTGACAATTATGCACCAAGGGGCAGAAGTAACCAGGCATGTACAGAGAATGCCAGGAATACAAGCATAATAAGATGTGCTTTAAGTTAACATTACCACCACAACTGGTAGTGCCTAAGTATTGTGACTTACAATATATCTCAAGTAACTCATTATTATTCCAATACCTTTCATCTTTCATTTGTTATCTAATATATCTAATGATATGAATAACTGAATTGGAGAAAGAATGGATTATGAAAGCTAACAGGATCCGTGTGTTATTCTTATGTCAAATGGTTACAAATAATGGATAAATAAACTTTATTTTGATAAATAAAAACTTTATTTTATGGAACTTCAGTGTGGACAATTCTTAACAGTATGAGTAATGAAGTAACACAAAATGAAACAAAGATAAAGCAATTCCATATATATGTATATCCAAACTGCATGCAAGCAATATTCTATGGTTTCTGTGGTGAAAATGTATCAGTAATGTTGATGGTTCTGATCACGGTTTATCCTCATTTATGGAAATAACCCCACCAGGATTCATATTCATCTTTGAGGGATCAAATGGCTGTCCTTTAAATGGTGACCCCTCAGCATCCCAGGCTTCTCGAAGTAAGTTGTGGACTTTCTAGAATGATAGAATTACAACATTATTCCATAGAAAGAAAGAACACAACATTATTCCATAGAAAGATAGAACACAACATTATTCCATAGAAAGATAGAACACAAATTTATTCAATAGAAAAGATCAGCACAATAGTAGTTCTTTTGATTTGGAACTCTTTTGAAATCAAGGTGATTTCAGTCATGACCTTCAAGCAACTGAAAACAACCAAGCTTAATAATCTCAAAATTTCCTTATCTTCTTCTCATGTATCCAAATTATTGCAAGAAAAGTTTCTATATATGGAAGTATAAACCAATGATCTCTCATTAACAAAGTATTTTGAGTTCAGTTCAGAACATACTCGTCTAACTGCTTCGAGGTATGTTTTTATGATTGTAATACTTGTAGAATTTGAAGAAAAAAATGAAAGATATGGTTTTTCATCTTTCAGAAATGTTTTCCAGCCATTTGCCCCCATATGTTGCAGTGTATTGATGAGATTAAGTCTTATTTAAACTCTAGTATGAAGATTCAAAGAAGGAAAATATCTCCTTTGTAATAACAAAAACTCCTATTGTGTCCGAGCAGTACCAACTGATCAGTGATTTGTATATAGCTATGTTATGTCGCAAGAAGTTTGACGAGCCAACATTTAAATAATGTATCCCCCTATTTGTGACTTTATGGTTCATGGCCACATTTTTATAAGAAACTAGCTATTACTTCAATCATGGAGTTACTTTTACACTTTGTTGGAAAAATGTACAAACTGAATTCAACAACATAACAAAATTTGTTATTGAAGCTAACTAGAGGCAAGTTCTACCCTGTAAAATTTCTATAGTCTGGCTGTTCTATCAAATTCAGTTACCAATACAAATAAACAACAACCAATCACTGCCATGTTTCTAAAGATGATGCATGGGCGTACCGTTTCTGGTTTGACATAAATGTTAGAGCTTTAGTCGTCATGAAAACAACTTCAGCTTTCTCTGAACAAATGCATTACAAGCTACTGAAGTGAGTTAAGTCATGGTACGGTTAAGGTAACCATAATGATCAAACTTGTCCTTATTACCTAGATTGCATGTCAAAGATTTTTTTTTTTAAATTAGAAAATGATATATTCTGGTCTTTTCAATGATTTTCACTTAAAACCGTTACCTTTTCTTCACTAGTAGGGAGTCCTAGTCTTTTTTGTCGCTCATTATACATCATCTCACCAATCTTAGCTTGGGCCTCGTCATCTAGGTCGGTCATCGGGCGACTGGCATCAATCTTCCTTACATTAATCTTGGATTCTGATGAAAGTAAAGCCTCCCACCACCTCTCCTCTTTCTTCTCCAAATTTACCTGAAAAATATTCAAATATGCAATAGTAAGATTTTCCATCAATTAATCTTATGCCACCAACTACAAGTGGATATATACAATGTAGTACAAACATTTCTGTGGAATATACATATTTAATGGTATGTTAGTGCACCATGATGTTGAATATGTAGTATAGAAATGTTAGCAACCAATGAAGGTAAAACATCTGAAACTTAATCTCATTTATTTACATTTCCCCAGAAGTTGTATTAACAATTACTGTAGTATGTTACTGCACCAACCACTATCAATGTTATTGGAAAATTACATGCATCTTGCAATGCAGGTTCATCTTGAAGGGGTGTAGTACAAAATGTAAAGTTAATTTTCAAAAATCACTTCATATGTTAAATTGGAACAGCATAAAATTTCATACATTTCAGAAAGATTAATGTACTTAATATTTAAGTGCTATGATCTCAATTACAGATTGAAGTTTTTACATCCGTACAATACCTTTGGGACAAATATGTACATCGTAACCTGGCAGTACACAGAGCTAAGGGTTGAATACCTACAGACACTTCAAAAATCAGGTACTTGAGTAATCAGACAGTACTAAATAGTAAAATATCTTACATGTACATGGTCACCAGGCACCAGACTCCACATGGACTCCTCCTTCATGACCTCCCAAGACAGGTCATCATCCACAATATCTAACCATTGCCCAGTGTCCTGTTTATGGGAGACTTTCAGTCGCTTTCTCTCTATCACAACTTTAACATCTTTGCCTTTGGTTAAATACTTTGGTACCTAATTTACATAAAAAAGCATAAAAAACATTAGTACAATATCTTAACTATACATGTTTTCATAAATTTTAGAAATTCTTCACATGAAACCACTTCAATCACTTGTAATCTCTTCTAACCTGCCTCATGAACAAGGATATATTGCCTTCACCTATCAGTTCCATTTCAAAATTACTTCAATGACAATTGCTAAATACATGCATACCTTTACACTATATTCCTTGTAAAGTACATGAACATTAGAATATACATGAAGAAAATCTATCATTTATAGCAGAGTCTGGTAAACGACTCCTTTATATACACATACTTTGATCTGTGCATCAACATCATTAATAGTTTGCGACCAAGAGTAGTTGTCCCTCATAGCTCCATTGTGACTGGCAGGGTTGGCCTGAAATGTCTGTTGTTGTCTATAAAATAACATTAAGAAAAGTATGACCCATGTGATAGTTTCATGTTCTGAAGTAATGTTATCCTGTACCAGTAACAGAAGTCAGAGATAGGGCTTATAACATGATAACGAAAAAGTGCTTGTTTGTAATTCTACTGAAAAACAATAGAAACGTTAGGGCTTATTGCCAGTTTGGGCTTATTGAGGATAAATACACAAAGTTTTCCAGTTGATGGTTCAGAAGGCACTTGATTTATTTGTATGCTTTAATTTTTAAGAGAGAGAGTTATCAGAAAAAAATTTCCTTATGGTTTTTGTGTTTAAATCTGTCGAAGTTCAATAGGCTTAATCACTGTTCCTCACCAATAATTTCATTATTCACTTCAGACAACTTTTTGAAATGCATGTACTACTACTGCTGTGATGATTTAAAAGTAGTATTCATTTAAATATTCTATGAGATTTGGGACCCACCATTGTTTGGTCTTTGTATTTTTTTTTTTTTTTTTTTTATTCTTTCCACTGTATTTGGTCTTCATTGTACGGAATTTGAAAATTTGGAAGAAATAGTGATAATAATCTTTAAATGCCAAATCAAGATGGCTACTTCTCAATCAGTCCCAAAATCAAGACGGCACAACTAAGGACCAATTGGAAATTACATACAAAATTTGAGCCATACACCAAATTTGGAGAACATTGGACTACAGATTATCACATGGAAAGTAACAAAATGGTAAATTTTCGTCATTCGAAGTCCTATCACTTTTGCATGTATACATAGATTTTACTGGTAATTGATCCTACGCCACGTCTCATTAATAGAAAGCCACATACCAAATTTAGTGAGAATCCGGCAACAAATACACAAGTTATGGTGCGGAAAGGAAAAAGAGACTGACAGACAGGCTGATTTCTATAGTGCACCCGCAATCAAAATGTGGGACCCAAACAAGAATACTAAAGACCAAAGACAAAGGGCAGTTTGAATAGCATACCATGGTGGTTTAAATATAAACTGAAGACTTTTTTATTTATGTACTACCTAGTAAGCTCTGGATCTTCATCTTTATTTTCACTGCTTGAGTCTGATGGTTTGTTTTCAACTCGACTGTGATCCTCTGTTGCCATTGGTTCTGGAGCTTCCTGGGTACCTGAAGTTTTAGCAGGCTCCTTTGGAATGACAGGCTCACTTTCGACCTCACCAGCAGGTTGGTCAGATGTTGATACTTCCACAGTCTTAACAGCTGCTGGAGCTATTGTATCAGTAGGCTCCAATGCCACTAGCAAGCAGAGAAAAAACTACTTAAGATACTTCATTTAAAATACTATTCTTGTACCAATGTAATCAGATTATGTGTAATTACTGCATTAAAAGCAACAGATGTTGTCATTAGCGATATTACACATAACAAAAAAGAAAACTTTTCTTTAATAGTAACTCAAATTTTGATGATTTTTCATTTTACCATTATAGTGTAAAAACAGGATCCTGGATCTTTCTAAATGCTTTATCTCATCAAATGTATTCTATTCTGAACAGTATTTTATTCCAAACGCTTAACAAAATTACATATACACATGCTACATGTGCGATGGGAAAACAAGCTTAGATGTTAAATTGCCTAAAACATTCCATACCTAGATAACAATGTTAACTAAAGGCTAATAACTGTATATATTCTGTGATATGGCCAAAGGTCAACACATCACTTCTTACATCAAGTCTGTGAGTGGACAGAACAACAAAACATCTTTAGTTTACAACCATAATTTTACTGAACATCAATATGTATTGGTGGGCTTAATACCATACATTAGCTACTTACTGGATGAAAATGGTACTACCCTTTGATCAGACAACTTCCTATCAGGATATCAATATTTCCTTGTGTGTCACAGATATGGAAAATCTGAAATTACCTAACCAACCAAGGGGAATAACTCCTAAGAAAATGACTGAAAAATAATCTGCCGCCAACAACTACATCAAAATAAAAAATGTACTCTATTGCATTTGGTCAACATCTTGAAACAGTAACAAATCAGGGAAATCTTTCTGAATGATTACTTTAAAAGAGAATATCTCTTTCCAAACTCATCATAATGAAAATAAATTGCAAATGCACAACTTATAATGTGCACCAAGTTCAGTCACTGAGAGTAACACCTCTGTTTATGTTTATATCAAATTGAGTTCCATGCACCCAAGTATATTCCAGTCAAAATTTCTTGAAATCTACTCAGATAACAGACATATGAGGAAAGACAGGTGAACCACTTCAGTATATCCTTTTGTTACCTTTCTTTTTCCTTGTTTTTTCCTTTTCTTCCTCATCCTTTCTTGCCAAGTCTTCATACTGTTTATATGACTGTCAAAATAATCCATGTGCAACCATTAACAATGTTTGTTATGCTTTCAACTGCATGTATACAAAAAATATCTCTTGGAGAAAGGCTAGTAAAACAAAGTTTAAAAGGTTTAAGTTAGAAAGTTCATAATGTAAAAATGTAAACCAGTTATATAAGCAATAACAATATATCAATAACCTGTTTTTTCCTTGTTAATACAATAAGTTTTTTGAAACTAGTGGTAACAAGGATTCTTTTAGGACAGACAGACAATTTATAAAGGATGATTTTAATAGCACCATCTCATTATAGTGGGCTAAAAATTATGAACAGCAATGGCATCTTCTTCACTCAGAACCTACATTGAGTAAAATCTTCACTGCCACTCCTGCAGGAAATCCAAGACGGTCCGTCTTCTGCTTCATTAAGCGATAAAAGTCAGTTCTGAAAAAGAAGGCTTTTATTATTATCCTCCATAAATCAAATTAAATGATAGTTAAACCTATTTGAATTTACTGAAGACTTTGAAAGGCCTCCATGACATATTATACATGCCTTGCTGAACAGGTCACCCATATTTATCTTGAACATGGGTCCAGGTAACATTCAACATAGGACAATTTGTGACTTACAGATGTATTTTAAACAACATAAAACACCAAAATTTATTATGTTTCATACACAGTCCCACCTCTTTAGGTTATTATAAACCAAATATATACCAGTAAATTTCTGATAATAAATGTTATGCTCATGCAGTTTCATATCACACATTAAGTAAATATGTTAACTCCATGGGGTTAGGTGTTTGTGCCAAGTCTCTGTGCCTTCATACACATCACAAGGTCCACACCTTTTATTTTTACCTACTTTGCAAAAGCTTTATATTCATCTATTCTATTCACATATTAATCGCAATTCGAAGTTTGGTTGCTTGGCCAGGGAGATCTTGTTGAAATATACATTGTGATGCAAACTGTAATGAAGACTATTGTAACATGCAAAAGCACTTCTCTTTAACAAAACCGATTTAGAATATAATGCAACGCAATGACTTGTGGTCATGAAGTCTGATAATAATCTGTCACAATAAAATAGGCATATCCATGTCATCCTACTGACTTTCTGTAAAGAAATCCGAACATGGCGTCCAAAAACCCAGCAATCTGTCCCTCATGTTGTAAAATTCCTAGCAGGGCAGTGTCATACTGCTCCCTCATTCCCGCCATATTGTTTTTGCTTCACAATATCGAGGTTAGTAAAATGTTTCCACCTTGAATTCCTTCATTTAGAGCGTTTAGAAGATTTAGCATAGTCTTTCGTTCGGAATTCCTTTGCATTGTTCATATGTGTTGTAGAATAATACCATCATGGCGGTAGTTAGCGCTGGGTTTGCGGTACTGTGTGTCGGTATTCTTGTTTATGGAGTTCTGGACATTTTGACAAATTTTGAAGAAAACAAATGTGAAATGACGTTCATGTTTGAAATGCCAGAATATGTGGTTGGTATATATTCCTTGTCCAGATCTTAAGCACCGATGAACAAGTGGGAAGTCATTACGCGGTTCACTGATAGTGCGTTTTTTTACATACAGACAATATATTCTCGATAAATAGACTTTGTGCCAGCATGCACAGCTAGCTATCAGTTTCATATCTAGTATCGGGGACGTTTAATACTAATGTGATAATAATAATGTATTATACTTCCATGCTAGTATCTAGCTATCATTAATAGGTCCGTTCACTGCAGACAGCAATGTACTCATACGCTGGTTCGCAGACAACAAATTACTAGTAAATCCAGAAAAAATTCAGGCCATTGCTATTTGGGGGAAAAGCACACAAAAAGAAATATGTAGGTTTTAGTAGCTCATAAGAGCTAATGTTTCACTGTTTAATGCATCTATTTTAAATAAAACTTTTGAACTTTGCCCGTCCTTCTGTCTCCATTGGTATGTTTCAATTTTCATGGGCTTTCAAATGTATTTCATTTAAGGCAAACATTACAAGTTACAGTAATTCACAATGTTGACTTGCACACAGAGTTAAATATGGTCTCAGTCACTCAGCAGACAGAACATACTTCAGTTGATAGACCCATTGATAATCTTTATGCTAGAGACCTGAATTAGATTTATGAAATAACGCTCCATATAAATGTGTTCTGTGTTCCCCAAAAATTATTGGGGTACCATATAGTCGCTGCCTGGTCAGTATGTACATCTTTCCATCTTTCCTTCCATCTTTCTTACGATCCTTTCTTGTCTGGAGCATGATTTGCCAACAGTCAATCAAGGATCATGAAACTTGGTGTATGCATTGGCCATACTATGGTGATGTGCAGTGTACAAAGTCCAGGGCCCGTATCTCCTTAATTACTTAGTTCTTGCCCTTTGTTAAAATCTCATGTCCAGAGAAAAAGTGTTAGTTGCTTGCATTTAAAATAGAATAATGACACTTGGTGTATACATTGATCATACTAAGATGATGTGCATTGAACCAAATTCAGGAACCTTGACCACTTGATTGCAGAGTTATTGCTTTTTATTTAAAATTTCTTGTCTGGAGCATAACTTTGCTTTTATTTAAGCTAGGATAATGAAACTTGGTGTGTACATTAATCATACAAAGGCAATGTGCAGTGCACCAATCAATTAATTACAGAGTTATTGTTCAAATTCTGTGTATGGAGCATGACTTGGCCTACTGTTAAACTGTTAGATAATGAAACTTGATGTATGCACTGGTCATACAAAGAGGATGTGCAGTGTATCAAAGTTCAGGTCTGGAATCCCTTAATTACAAAGTTAGTCCTCTTTGTTTAAATTTTATGTCCAATGAAGTCCTTTTAGGAGAGTGTTCATCTGTTTCATTTATACTCTTGTTCCTTGTACTGTTACATTGTACCTGACAAGTCCCATGGATAGTAATAATTTGAGTCTTTGATAAAAAAAGCAAATCAATATGACTGGTGTAACCTATGGTCTTTGTTAATCAGCTGATGCACCATACTTCCATGGTTCAGTTGGTAGCACTGTTATCAAGTTGGAAACACTTGCTCAATTCCTGTCTGATTACTTGGCAGGAAATGTGTTTGTCACTGTTCTGTTACAAATTTACAAAAATGAATATCATGTATATCCGGTAGATTAAAAGATTGTGCCTCAGTTTAATGTTCACTGTAGTGACACAATTATAGGATGATAATTAATTAATTTCCTTAACAACTGGTTATAAAAACTCTCAGAAAGCCAGTCATTCTCTAATTTACAAGTACTTCAGATATCTTTGTCTATTACAGCTGAGGATGACTTGTACATAAATTTAGAGTTTGGAATTTCGTCTTTTTCATTGAAATTTACATAACACACTGTATTATATACATGTACATTATATTCATAGAAACTGGTATTGAAACAGTTTTCATTTGTTTTTTTTTTATTTCCCCCCCCCCCGCCCTGCCCCCCTTCTCCCAAATGATTGTTTTTGTTGCATCTATAAATGTTTATGAACTATGTCAGCTCCCTTAGAAAGTTAGTATCAGATATTATGGAGAAAGCTTCCAATCTATTAAAGGACTGAAGTATATATATGTTTTATATCAACTTTAGAACATTCCCTTTGGAGATGAGGTGAAGAAAACCTATCCCAGATATGGGCTGTATGTGTATGGGGAAGGGTAAGTACACCATCATAACTGTTACAGATATGTCAAGCTTTAAAGCTAGGGACAAACTTAAAACACATCAAACCATTGATAAGATATTGTGACTGAGCCCTTAGGATATTCAAAATTTTATGAAAAGTTGACTTACTAATCAATATTAAAGTGATTAAACTAATGATGTGAATCTACTGATTGATAATAAGACATCAGACACAGAAAAGGTGTTCAGAGAAAAAATAACTTCATAACATAGTGGTAACCCTATTGTAAAATGGCAACTGGACATTGTGAACATTCAGGTCTATTGACAGGTTTTTATAGTAGACTTAACGTAATCAAATTAGCAATACAGTGATGTGCAAATTACACAAAAAAAAAACAAAACTAGTTTAGTCTTGACTCATTTTGATCATTAATGCTCATGCATGATAGCTATTTTTGAAGTCCTGAATTATTTGTATTTCAATATTCAAGATCATTTCAAATTATGATGTCATGTTTAGTAATTTGATTTTCATTTTGTTTATAGGGATTATGCCAGATATGTAAGGTATGTTATGTTTTTTTTAATCAAATAAAGGTAATGTTTGTATCATCAATTCGGTGCTTCTTATCTTGGACAATTTATGCATCAAACCATTGTATTCTTACAGTTTTTTTTCTTCCCAAATGTTGTTGAAAGATGATTATGACAACTCTATCAGATAATGATCCTCATTTCTCCATATTGACTTTTTCTGTACATGTTGAGCTCTTGTTCCTGTGATGATCTTTTCACCACAAGGAAATCTCTTACTCCTCATAACACATTAGAGATTTGGCTTATTACCCAAAAAAAGATGCAGCGTTTGTTGGTAATCCAGTTAAAACAGCAATAGCCATAGTTCAACTTATAGTCTTTTCAGTAATATGATGATCCTTCTGCTATCCACACTGATGATCTGTCCACCACAGAAAGACTCCATTACATCTGATGGTTATTCAGTGATGTTTTGCTTTCATCTCTGATTGATCAAACCTGATATAAGTTGTATTAATGTTGAAACAACTTAGAAATCTGATGTAAACATCATGTTTGTATTCAAATTAATTCAGTGAAACTTGGTCTGGTTTTAAACAGTTGTCTGTGACTTCCTACTCAACAATGTTTTAATGATTTTGATAAGTTTGTTAATGTCAAAAATCAAGTCAAACAAATGATTATGCATTATCAGAATCTAAAACTGATTTGATTAACAAGTATATAGTACATATTAGTATCAGTAATTTATTGGAATTTTATTCCTTATTCTATAGTGACATGAATCTTCAGGGAGTACCTGTCCTCTTCATTCCTGGCAATGCTGGTAGTCACAAACAAGGTAAGAGGGATTAATTTCAGGGTAATTCTAAATCAGACAACTTTCCATCTACCTTTTAAAGCTGATCATATTTTGTCAAAATTACCAGTAATTTTAAGAATTTGTTATATTTTCTAATGAAATGATATAAACTACTCGGTAGATATTGGATGAGACGTGAATTTACCACTGTAAACCATATAATTTCTGTGAACTTTGGATAATCTTACTACTTTATTTTTAACTTACAAAGCTCATCAGTGTATTTAATGTCACATTTTACTACAGACAGAATTGTCCTGACATTGAAATGAAATTGGTTTAGAAGCTTGTAGGAAGATTTTTTTCAAATACAAAAGCATGTTATTCAAAATCATCTTTTCCTTAGAGGCCAATTTGTAAATGAGATGTTGTAGCATATTATATTGTTTTCACATTTTAATGTGTTCTGGTTCTTCCTGCCTGCAGCCCGATCCCTAGCATCAGTGGCATTAAGACGTGTTGAGGAAAAAAAACCTAACTTCCATTTCAATTACTTCACAGTGGATTTAAATGAGGTGAATCTTCTAAACTATTTCCATCCTTTTTTTCAAAGACTACTTTTCAGCATGTTATAAAGGTAGGGTCTCATTTGCCAAGGATGGTCATTATCAGGGTCTTACCTGTATCATTTAAGGTACATCAAACGAATCTCAAGGTTGCATAACTTTACATTATAATGACTTTGAACTTGGGTGTTTTTGCTATGACATATTCCAGCTGTGCAGAGAGCAAAAGTGGTTGTAACCGCTGGAGTATTGAGGATGTAGTAATACTGTTGGTATTTGTTTGCTTATGTTATTTTCTTACGTCATTGTTTTATTTTTTATTTGTTGGGTAGTGACTTAACATACTGTCTTGTCTATAGCTGTGATGGCATATCTTGCTGTTTTGTTTGTAGGAGATGATGGGTCTGTATGGTGGGACATTACAGGACCAGACCGGTAAGTTCATTACAGTATTTTCTGGATTATAAGCCGCACATTTTTCCTTGTGAGTTGGGCGTGCCACTTATATACTGGTGTGCCATATATGTGGACAAAAAATCGGCAGAATGAAAACAACAATAAAGAAGGAAGCGTAACCATACACCAGTAAGAGACGATACAGAGTTTGTTTTTTTACAAGTACCTGCCCGTCACATGTTTGTGACTGTAATAGATGGTCTAGAGGCGTCATTTGCAATCATATACGGGATTATTTGAAGATTGAAATCAAAATAACATTATCATGGGTTTAATTAATCATACCTTTTGATATGAATCACAATAATATCGTCTTGACTTTCTCGGTTATTTCAAAGCCATAGAGGAAGTTTACAATAGTCTTTTGCATCCTGGGATCGATAGGTCATGGAGTTATATGTAAAATTCTAGAATAACTGCCAAGCTTGTTTATGAAATGAATGACTTTGTGTAGCTTACAAGAAGAAATAATTTATTGGACTATAAGAGTTTGGTTAGCATGCAAGGGTCTTCGTTAATATTTAACAGTTCAGACACTGATGGAGAGATTGTTTGATAAAGCATATGTAACATCTGGCCCATATGTCTGTGCATAGACAATTTGTAAAGGCACCCAAGCCAAACAAGTTTGATGTTTACTATTTTATATTTTTTGAAATGTAACAGTGAGATAAAGGATTATCTGTATATAACTCATTTGAAAACTTTATTAAATGTTTCACTGATGATCTTGATAAATTGCCCTCCGTTTTCTGTAATATCAATGAAGAAAATATTCCTTGTTTCATAAATGTTCAGTTGTTTACTCTGAAACTGCTTTGTGCAGTTGATATCATTAGTTTTAGATGCACAAGGAAGTGAAAACCTTTTAAAAACCACTTAACATAGCTAGAAGCGTCAGTATCAACAGGAAATCGATAAGGCTTTCAATGTGATGGATGATTACAACATGAAATCATTGATGTACCAGGTACTGTACCAAATTTTTGGTGCCAGACATGCAGTGAATGAATTGATTTTAGCCATTACACTTTTTATTGCCTGGTGAAATACTTTTAACAGATCTTGATGTGATTTCTGGACATATAACTATCAGTTTTAGTCATTCATGAGAAACATACATTTGTAAGCTGGAGTAGTTAAACAATATTTACATATTTATTTCAGAATTTGTTCACTTGTGCATGACAAAGATCTTGACACTGTATGGAGAAGCTCCCAGTCCCCCCTCATCAGTAATACTAGTCGGACACTCTATGGTAAGGCTAAATATATATTCCTCTTATAGAGAAGCTTTCAGTTGTTTCATCTGTAATACAAATGGGACAGTCCATGGTAAGACTGTATATATATATATATATGATGGATGGTTTTTGGTCCGTTATAAAGGGCCTTCGGCGTCCATCAGCTGAAGGGATTATCAAGACACCTAAATTTACACCACCGCTCTCCATTTAGATTTATAACTTTGTCTTATGTTCTGTGTATGTGATGTAATGTATGTAATAACTGTGTCTTGAAAAGGAGGCAGACTGCCCTATATGGGTAAGCTTTCATTATCCTTATTTATGTTATTGATGGGCTAATACAGGGAAGTTTCTACTCAGGATCTGTTCCTAATATAGAGACATTCAATTGTCCTAGCTCGGTATACATTGATTCAGAATCAGAAGATTGATGCAGTTGATTGATTTATACCTACGTACACTAAATAATGATGTTTAATTTTGTGTTGTAGGGCGGAAATATTGCACGAGCATTATTCACACTTCCAGATTTTGACCCCAGTCTAGTGTCTGTTATCATCACACAGGCAACCCCTCACCAAGGTCCTGGTATGTACAATGGATAACTTTCCTTTATGCTATAATATGGTACATTGTCATAAGTCCACTCTCTTAGCTGAGTATTTTCAAGAAGTTGAGTACTAAGGCTTCCCTTGAGCATATTTGTTCCAAGTGATACATATTTTTATACCCTACCATTTTATTGGGGGGTGGGGGCAATGTAGTGTTACCTTATCAGTCCCAGTGCGTCCACTTCTGAATCAATGTGATATCTCTCAACATATCTAAGAATCATAAAAAGTTCCTACACCAGATCATATCCTGGTTTGCCAAGGAGTGAAGGAAATCATGTCTTATATTTCCTGGTTATAGTGAATACTGAACCTACTTGATTGTATTAGTGATTACACAAAATCATCTCTGAAGTCAATATGTATACTCATTTGAAAATTAATAAGATACACAATGAAAGTGTTTTGATGAAAATATAAATCACAACTGCCTAACATTCCATTAAAAGGCTACATGATCAATTTATAAGTAACTTCAGCTATTAACTGATAGTGATTTTCCAGATGAACACTAAAAATAACAATTTTTACCAACAGTTATTCCCTTTGACATGAAACTCTCCACATTCATGACAACAGTGAACAATTACTGGGTAGATCACAGTAACAGCAGCTTAAGTCATGTGACCATTGTGTCAACTGGCGGGGGTCACCGGGATGTCCTTGTCAGGAACAGCTTTACCTCCCTTAAAGGGGTAGGTATGACTGGTTCATATCCAGCCAGAGTAGTGATAATTTCATTAACATCAGATATTTTCAACTCTTGTGTAATTTCAAAAGTGTAAGTTATTCAGTTTTCAATGTTAAATTTTCGACATTGTGTTCAAGTAGTAGTAATAGTGCATTTTTTTCTTAATTTTCATTTCTAAAAATATATTAAAAAGCAAAAATCTAAGATCCTTTGCTCTGTTGTGAACAAATAATATGTTCTTTTTTGTCCTAAAACATAACTACATGTATTTCAGTTCTGTCTCATATTTAAACTATATAATGATGTCAATAACCTTTTGCAGATAGTTGATGAGTCCAATGGAGTATACACATCAGTGAGTATCTACATGTAGTCATTAGACTTCAACCTCTTTGATTGCCAAATCACTCAGTAATCTGCTGCAGTAGTTCCTTGAATTAGTCATCAGACATTGTCCATAAACAATTATATTTTTATGTCTTTAGACACAGAATATCAGGAATTATGGTAATCATCAGCCCATTGTGGGGATCAGATGATAATTGTCAGCCCATTGTGGGGATCAGATGATAATTGTCAGCCCATTGTGGGAATCAGATGGTAATCATCAGCCCATTGTGGGGATCAGATGATAATTGTCAGCCCATTGTGGGGATCAGATGATAATCACCAGCCCATTGTGGGGATCAGATGGTAATTGTCAGCCCATTGTGGGGATCAGATGGTAATTGTCAGCCCATTGTGGGGATCAGATGATAATCACCAGCCCATTGTGGGGATCAGATGATAATCACCAGCCCATTGTGGGGATCAGATGGTAATTGTCAGCCCATTGTGGGGATCAGATGATAATCACCAGCCCATTGTGGGGATCAGATAATAATCACCAGCCCATTGTGGGGATCAGATGATAATCACCAACCCATTGTGGGGATCAGATGGTAATTGTCAGCCCATTGTGGGGATCAGATGATAATCACCAGCCCATTGTGGGGATCAGATAATAATCACCAGCCCATTGTGGGGATCAGATAATAATCACCAGCCCATTGTGGGGATCAGATGATAATCACCAGCCCATTGTGGGGATCAGATGGTAATTGTCAGCCCATTGTGGGGATCAGATGATAATCACCAGCCCATTGTGGGGATCAGATAATAATCACCAGCCCATTGTGGGGATCAGATAATAATCACCAGCCCATTGTGGGGATCAGATGATAATTGTCAGCCCATTGTGGGGATCAGATGATAATTGTCAGCCCATTGTGGGGATCAGATGATAATTGTCAGCCCATTGTGGGGATCAGATGATAATCACCAGCCCATTGTGGGGATCAGATGATAATCACCAGCCCATTGTGTGGATCAGATGATAATTGTCAGCCCATTGTGGGGATCAGATGATAATCACCAGCCCATTGTGTGGATCAAATGATAATTGTCAGCCCATTGTGGGGATCAGATGATAATCACCAGCCCATTGTGTGGATCAGATGATAATTGTCAGCCCATTGTGGGGATCAGATGATAATCACCAGCCCATTGTGGGGATCAGATGATAATCACCAGCCCATTGTGGGGATCAGATGATAATTGTCAGCCCATTGTGGGGATCAGGATAATCACCAGCCCATTGTGTGATAATTGTCAGCCCATTGTGGGGATCAGATGATAATCACCAGCCCATTGTGGGGATCAGATGATAATCACCAGCCCATTGTGGGGATCAGATTGTTATCATCAGCCCATTGTGGGGATCAGATGATAATCACCAGCCCATTGTGGGGATCAGATTCAGCCCATTGTGGGGATCAGATGATAATCAGCCCATTGTGGGGATCAGATGGTAATTGTCAGCCCATTGTGGGGATCAGATGGATAATTGTCAGCCCATTGTGGGGATGATAAGCCCATTGTGGGGATAATCTCAGCCCATTGTGGGGATCAGATGATAATCACCAGCCCATTGTGGGGATCAGATTGTTATCATCAGCCCATTGTGGGGATCAGATGATAATCACCAGCCCATTGTGGGGATCAGATTTTTATCATCAGCCCATTGTGGGGATCAGATGATAATCACCAGCCCATTGTGGGGATCAGATTTTTATCATCAGCCCATTGTGGGGATCAGATGATAATTATAAGTCCATTGTGTGGATCAGAGGGTAGTTGACAATATTCTGTTGTCAGTATAAGACAACCATTTCATTTGTATAATAAAATGTATAACATTGATATCATATTGTTAAGTATTTACAATAATCAGAGTTGAGTACATGTATTACATTGATATTATATTGTTAAATGTTTACAAAACTGTGTTAAATTGTTGCTTTTCAATCATATTATGACTTCAATTTGTACATTGTACTCCCACTCTAAGTTCCCTGATATACTAAGTATATATTTTCAGACCATGTCTGTCCCTAATGCTTGGGTGTCCACCGACCACCTGTGTGCTGTGTGGTAAGCTTGGCCGTGTCTAGCACTAACTATAACACATTCTCCTATCAACTGTAACATAGCAGTCATGGGTCATGTTAATACTGTCCCATCTAACATATTTACAAACAGTTCTTTATCACCAAAGTGAAGAAGCGATTATTTGGAATATGAACACTATGCTTAATCATATTGTAAAATTTAGTTATACCAAGTATGAACTAATTTTCATTTCTTCATTAATACTATACTCTCAGAGAGGACTTTTGAGTTTTCACTCATCTGTGTATATCTCCTGGTGTCAACCACATTCTTATACCTTACTATATATACACTATATATACAATGGCCCTTTGTGAAATTTGGTACCAATGTTTAACTGCAGATTACAGAATGCTAGAACTCCCCATACTCTTCCTTGTTGTAATTTGATAATTCATTTAGTCAGAAACATGAGATTGTAAGTAACAGTGGTTAAAAGTTACGAAAACAGTACACTACTAAAAACATAACAACTTTTGGGAAGTCTGACAAGCTTCTTGTTTGTCCAGTCCCATCATGTATCTTACTTAAAATTATTACCATTGATAGAATGGCGCTTCTTATTGGTGTGTTACCATTATTATGTTACTATGGTTATGATAACATTGCTATGATGCTATTGCTATTGCTATTGCCCAATCTCTTTCAAAAATGGTTAATTCCTATTATGATAATTAGGATTGCTGATTCACATAAACATTTTGATTCTGTTGTTTATGGGAGGTAACGGTATCATAAACATTATTTTATTTCTGTGATAGGTGTCGACAGATGGTGCTAGCAACTACACGGGCCTTGTTTGACATCATCGACCCCAAAACGTCTCAGGTAAGATTCCAGTGGTATCATTGGCTCTCTAATGTCTGAGGTGAGTTGACAGTGGTATCATTGACTCCATAACATCTCGGGTAAGTTCACCATGGCATTACTGACCCATTTGTGTTTACAGTAGCATCATTGACTCTACAACTCTCAGTTGCGATTCCACTGGTTTTATTATCCTCAAAGCAATTCAAGTCAGTTACCATTTCTCAAGGTATGCAAACTACACATTTACAGTATGTTCTTTCTCAAGCTTCTTGCACATATCATGGATGATAGGAAGTGAAGGGAGATAACCAAAGTTTTTCATACTGTGTGCTAGATTGCATTTTCAAATACACATCATTTTTTTTCTTTTTTGTTGTGTTATCATAGGTATTGTTTTTTAACTAAACAGTTTGAGTTGTAGTAAATAACTTAATATTTTAAATGTCTTAGTATGTTTTGAAATCTTTCAGGTTTTCAGGGTACATGCAGCAATGCCTGTATTGTTTTGCCTGATCATTGTTACTCAGCATCATTATGCTACTTCATTTGTTCTTAGAATTTTCCGTAACAAAAATTACACAAGTATTTATTTCACAAATTCCTCACTCTATTTGTTTCACCATTTTTAGCTTCAGAAGAAATCTTTCACAAATATTGAGTATTTAAACACATGTACATAAAATTTGTTTGCATTTCAGTGCCATTTGTCCAAGGCAAAGCTCATTACTACTAAAACACACACAGATGCTTTAACCTTTATTGTAATCAGGAAAAAACACTACCAATATATGTTACTCAGACAGAGTAGTTTTTCACCACACATCTTGACATATTAAATATAGGATAGAGTGTTGGTCTCATTTCAGTATATGTATGAGTATATTACAATTTGGTTTTTTTTAATCACAGGTTAGCACTGACAAAACCTTGAGGATGAATGTATTCCGACATCACTTCCTGTCCCATTCTGGAACCTTGCAGTACACTAAACAATTTCAAAGGGAAATAACTCTTAACTCCGCCATAAAGTGGGTTGAGAAGACAGAGAAATTGTGGGAGTTTGCGAGGGCTAAGGTAATGTTTAGTAAGTAACTGGTAAGATCGATTTTTTATATTGATTTTCGTTGATTTTGGCCTCTTCATATAAAAACCTTTTTTGTTACCAGTAAGTTTAGAAAAACATATAACTGATCGGCAGAAAGTTTGTGTATATTATAAAGAAAACATTGGAGACACGTACCCATGATCCTTGATAATAGAATATGTTGATATTTCTTTACATTCTAGGTGCATAAGACACATTATATAGCTGTACCTATCCGTAGAGATGGTGTTGACTCCCTGGTTGCCATCAGTGATGTGGTTGGTATCTTTATAATACCTAGAATTGAACTGGTAACTAAGAATGGCTAGATTAATTTTTACTTTATATGTCTGGATGTACTGAAATTGATGATGGAATACATGCAATCAATTAAGCTATAAGGCCATACAGGGTCACACAAGGAAAATGCTTAAAAATTTCAATTTTAACAAGATTTGGCTATAAATAGAGCACACTACATTGTATTGTCTCCACTGGTTCCAAAGCAGTGAAGTGAATAAACATCTGATTCTGTAGGTAGTCCCACACAAGTCACATCTTAAGACTGTAACTGGGTCACAGCAGTCTTGATGCTGTAGGCTGATTTGGTTGATAAACAGAGAGTATCAATGATTAGTAGAAATTGTAGAAAGTAGAAGAATATACTATTAATATTTGTATATGAGCAAGGTCATTTGCATATGTACATCATCATGTCCTGTTGATTCCTGAGCCATGAGATAAAGTGCTGCTTATTGAATTTGTTACTGAAGCATGAGATGCTTTTAAGACCTCTCCATTTCATGGTCCAGGGCATACAGAGTTAACCTTGTTAGTCATTTCATCATAATTTCATTTCCGCTCATTTGCTCTTAAGGGATACAGATATAGAACTATAAGTTCAATTATAAATTGATGACTTCAATTTTATTTCATGAGTCATACATACACCTTCTAATAAAACTAATGATAGATAAATATTCTGCTCTTCTCCATGGTTACCAGTAGGGGCATCTGTGTTGCTCTGACATCACTACTTATTGAAAGTTAATACATAAACTTAATCAGTAGTTAGAATTAAGTTTGTGATCTATTGGCACTTATAAACAAATAACCGGATAATTTTGTGCATGGTATTCTCCTTGCCTGCTGTAATGTAATGTAAGATCATGACTCTTGCAGTTAACTAAAGACTGGATCTGTGCTTGTAAGCTGAAGGAAGGAGAAAAACAATGGTAAGATCTCACATGTTTCAGTGATATCAGGATGTAAATTTTCAGGTCTTTACCTTTTTTTGACACAGAACTTTATCTTTGTCCTCTGTTTGGTTGTATCCTATTCTTTCATGCTGCATTGTGTTGTGTCTCTTTCTGAATCAATGCCCTAACTCTAGTTAGTTCTGAAATCAGTTTTTGTTTTATGTCAGATATCTTCATTATGTATTTCAATTATCATTTTCAGCAAAAAGTGTACCAACCTTTCTGACAGAGGACAGCTTGTACCACCAAGTAATTCAGGGAGAAAGGTAATCTCCATATACAAACAATAATCAAACATTTTTGGCCTGTTATCAAAATTTAATTCTTAAAAGTACTATTTCTGTATCAGAGTTTTTTGGAGATAATTTGTTAAATATTGTAGTATTAATGCAGATAAAATGTGATTAGATAAATTCATTGTTGTAGGTTGTCCATCTGGCATTATCAGAACTGGCAGATATGACACATGTCATCTTAATTGTTCCGGAATCTTTTGACAAGGTAAGTCATGAAATATAACTTACAAATCAGAACTGGGATTACACATTGTTAGAGAATGTCAAACTTGTACAGTTATTTTTAATATGTGTAAAGTTTATACAGATATCAAAAACAACTGTATTTTCATCAACCTTTACTAATAGTAACTGTAGATAATTCAGAAAATTGAGTATAATTTTCCTGGTTATTTAATTTCCATTTCAGGCAGGTCACTTGATGGTTGACCTGTACAATCAGGGTGAGCGCCATCTTGCCTACCGTATGCGTGGGTTTATAGATCTGTGTTTTGTGTTGACAGGTTGAGGTGATGGTTGACCTGTACAATCAGGGCGAGCGCCATCTTGCCTACCGTATGCCTGGGTTTATAGACATCATGATGACCTATCCTGAAAGTATCACTAAAAGTGCCAGCACATTGACCCTGTATAATGACACCTTGTTCTACAGCCTGACACTGCAAGGCATTGACACCTTACTGAAGGCCTACCGAGTCTATCTGCGACCAAAGAACTGTATCAAACAGAGCAGTCCTGGTAAGTAATCAATAACCTTGTTAACTCACCTGGCCAAAAGAGTCAAGTGAGCTATAGGGGCATTGCAGCATCCATTATTTGTCAGTCGTCTTTCCCTTTAACTTGCTTCTAATCATAAACAGCTGTGCAGATTTTAACCTAATTTGGCCTGCAGCATTGTGATGGAAAGGGGTAATAATTTAGTATAAAATTTGGTCTGGGCCTTCTCTGGAGCATGAGGGGCAGGGCCAAAAGAGGAAATTCTATCAATTATTTTAAAATCTTCCATCTTCTTTGGGAATGACAAGATATTGTCAAGTTTTAGTCTGAAGCATGCTTAGAAACTTGTTTTGTTTACATTTTTTGGCTTTGGCCACCTGAAGTGGGAAGGGCAGGGCCCAACATGGGAAATAGGGCAAATTCTTTAAAATTCTTTTCCCGTATGAATACCTAGTCGTAACTTTGATGTTGAGTAAAAGGGATGTATTATATGAAATGCCTGGACTCTGTCCCAATTTGGTCTGAGACATGCTTTAGAAAAGAGAATCAATTTTGTATGAACAACGGGTTTTGGCCCCTTTGATCAGGATGGACAGGGCCCAATTGTGGAAATAAAACAAATTCTGTAAGATCTTTCTTTTGGAATGATTCAACTTTGTCCAGATTTGATCTGAAGCATACAAAGAGAGCATCTATCCCCCTTGGGGAGGAGGGGCAGGTCCTAAAATGGGAAATAGATACAAATGTGTCAAATATTTTTCTTTAGTTTGAATAAAACAATTTCAGCAAACTAAACCAGGTGAATGATACAGGCCCTATTGGCCTCATGTAAAGAATAACATGTGTATATATAGTAAAGCAGAAATTTGGAGAATGTTGGAAAAGAAAAAAAGTATTACCATATTCTTGTTACAATTACAATTATAGAAGCTCGCCTTTCTGATAAAATATGCCAATTTTCATCTATTTCAGAATTGCACACTGGTAGTATGATGATGTTTCACGTCCCTTGGAGTAATGAGGACACATATTCCTTTAACAGGTATGAATAATTATCTCTTGAAATGTTAAGTTTATTCAGTGATTCAGCATACAGAGAGATTTTCTAAAAGTCGAAGTCACTGCAACTCTAAATATAAAATTAGTTTTTCCCCAATAACTTCAGTTCCCTTAGGCCGATCAGCCGCAAACTTCATACAGTGCTTCCTTACCAAAAGTACTTGTTTGGGATTGCTATTCAGGTCCGAAGGTCATCGTTACTATAGATAGGAATGTTATTGATGATACGATTTAAAAAACCTAAGAATCTAAAATAAAAATAAAAAATCTGAATGGAGTAACATTCACTTGTAAATTCATATCCCTGGTTTATGAATCCTCATTTTTTTTTAAACATAACATTACATTAGTTTTAATAAAGTGTTTGGAAAATATTTGGAGATATCTATGGGAATATTAATTTTACTTAAGTAGAACTTATACTATTTCCTAACTTTTTACTGTATGTAAAGAGTCACAGAAACTGCAAGATAACACAATGTACTACAAATGACATTCACTTCCTTGCTTTTACATCTATTTCAACATGTACAGCAAATACTCATCTTCACATTACAAATATCTACTCCCATTGTTCCATAAATCTCATCTCCAGAAACCTTGCTGGGCAGGCGACACACCCACTTCTGTAGAATTTTTTATCAAACTTTCCTATTCTTATCTTACCATCCTTTACTGACTTGTTTGTTGCATACTCTTACCTGACCTTTGTGAGCTCACTTGGTACTTTTGTTTCGATCAGAAATGACCAGGTTGGTAGCTTAGCCTTGAAACTACAGAGTGGTATGCCTATGAATGAGAATGATGGTGACCTAGAGCTGCGCGTCTACATTGATCCTTCCTGTACCTACCAACTGGACTTTGTAGCTGCTCCCTCCGACATGCTGGGACAGGTCAGTGTTAGCTTCTCAGTGTCTCCTAGCATTGTAATACCTCCTCAGGGAGTAAAAAGGTACAAATGCAAATAGAATTTATTGAAATTCTGACAGTTTTGACTCGAGATGAATAAAAAGCATCTGCAGTGAGGGCAAGGTAGGAATCATATTGATCCAAGTTTTCTGTACTTGAGTACTTATAGAATGGAAAGGCCGCAATAGCTAGTCTCTATACTAAAGGTATGTGCAACCTTGGATGATAATCAAAGTATGAGGTTTAAAGCTTCCTGTTTTGTGTTTACTACAAAGCCTCCAGTATGTTGTTCAGTGAGGTAGCTATAAGTTACTACAATGAGACTTTACCTCAAACAAACAAATAGCCCTGCCTTTCTGATAACGTGGAATGCAAATAAAGACATGATCAATTTGCTTTAATCGCCCTGGTTAAAGTGACTGGTACATTTCTTATGTTATGGAATTGTTAAGTAAGGTAGAGTTAGTGTTCTGTAAGGTAAGTAATGTACTTACTGTGTTTTAAGGTAAAAGATTTCCTGGAATTTTTAAATAAGGTAGAGTTAGTGGTCTGTAAGGTAAATAATCTACTTTCTGTGTTTTAAGGTAAAAGATTTCCTGGAATTGTTAGATAAGGTATAGTTAGTGTTCTGTAAGGTAAATAATCTACTTTCTGTGTTTTAAGGTAAAAGATTTCCTGGAATTGTTAGATAAGGTAGAGTTAGTGTTCTGTAAGGTAAATAATCTACTTACTGTGTTTTATGGTAAAAGATTTCCTGGAATTTTTAAATAAGGTAGAGTTAGTGTTCTGTAAGGTAAATAATCTACTTTCTGTGTTTTAAGGTAAAAGATTTCCTGGAATTGTTAGATAAGGTAGAGTTAGTGTTCTGTAAGGTAAATAATCTACTTTCTGTGTTTTAAGGTAAAAGATTTCCTGGAATTGTTAGATAAGGTAGAGTTAGTGTTCTGTAAGGTAAATGATCTACTTACTGTGTTTTAAGGTAAAAGATTTCCTGGTAGAGTTAGTGTTCTGTAATGTTACTTACAGATGATGATGTTATCATGATTTTATTCCTGTTAGAAAACAATAAAATGAATAAATAGAGTAGTTAGGGTTAGGGTTAAAGTCCTTAATAAGGCAACAAGACAAGGAGAAAGGTGTGATCCTCCTTAATGGTTGGAATTATCAAAGATAAACAAATTACTGTAGCTGGAGGGTTATTGATGCTAAAGTTCTGAAATATTGGCCTAATTATTTTTTTCTTGTGTGGAATGTACTTCTTTTTTCTTATTTGATATAGGTTATCAGAGGTACAAACTTTGTTATAGTTTGAAGGCATTCTTTTAAAATTGTAACAGTTATAAATCTAACACAACTTATGAGGATTAGAGGGTTTGTTAATGACAATTAAGGTATCAAAGAAAACATATTTGAAAGGTATTCTTCATTTATTGCTTGACCTCGTGGATTTTTCCTGGGTATTCTGATGAGTAAGACCCTTTATGCTGAGCCATCTGGGCCAATGAGACTGATTGATATTAGCTAAAATAGCTTGTTTTGCACTTGCTGTAAAATAAATAAAAGTTTTGATATGAATATTTTATAGATGTTTTTGTTATATACACCTGAAATGATGAGATCTTTCCACATCTCCTGTATACATGGATGTTATGATATTTGTCAGTGAAAAATGGAGACATTGAATGTCCTGGTAATATTAATGTTGATTTGTGCTGTAAAGAGTTTTTGTTTGAAATTTAAAACATTTTTAGTTCGGACTAAGGTGAGCTTATGCCTTAACATGGTGTCCATTGATCGCCTGTACATAATTTTTTTAAAACATGTCAGTCATGACAACTGAACAGATTTAAATTTGGTTAGAAGCATCATTATATAAATGGTGGGTGTGACCCCCATAGGACCTGAGGGGCAGGGCGAAAAAGGGAAAATTTTTACTAATTCTTTAAAATCATTCTTCTTTTGTAGTAATGTCAGGTTTCTGTCCAAATTTGGTCTAAAAATGCTTGGGTAGGAACTAAAAGGAGAAACAGATACAAATAATTAGAATTCCTTTTCAGTTAGTTTGGATGGAAAAAATACATCTAAACAGAGCCATGTGATCAATACCTGTCTTATGGGCCTCTTGCTTTTATTGCAAAGATTTTTACAAAGCATATGTGCTGGCTGAAATGCTGTGCATCCTTGGTCTGTTGTCCATCTGTCTGTCTATCCGTCGTCCGTCCATCCTTCAATAACTTTTGTTATTGCTATTTCTTGAAAAGGTACTGGATGGCTCTCTCTCAAATTTCATATGAAAGTTCCCTTTATCCGTAGTTATGCCCAGTTAATTTCGGATCTGATCAAAACAACAAAATGACCGAAAGGCAGCCACTTAGATTTTGACTATTAAAGTTTGTTGTCACTATTTCTAAGAAGTACTGGATGCATCTTTCTTAAATTGCATAAGTAGGTTCCCTTTGGTCCCTAGTTGTGCCCATTTGATTTGGGTTTGAACAACAACAGAAAATGGATGGCAGGTGACCATCTTGTTTTTAACCTTGAAAGTTGTTATTGCTATTTCTTGAGAAGCACTTGATGGATCTTTCTGAAATTTCATATATAAATTATTTTTGGTCCCTAGTTGTTGTGCCCTTCTAATTTTGGGACTGATCAGAAATACCAAATGGCCAACGGGTAGCCATCTTGGATTTTGACTTTGAAAGTTTGTTATTGCTATTTCTTGAGAAGTATAAAATGGATCTTTCTTTAATTTCTTATGTAATTCCCTTTAGTCCCTAGTTGTTCTAATTTGATTTTGGGACTGATCAGAAAAACAAAATGGTCGATGCACATCTTAGATTTTGACTTTGAATGTTTGTTATCACTATTTCTTTAGAACTGCTGTATAGATTTTTCTCAAATTTCATGTTTAGTTTCCTTTAGGTCCCTAGTTGTGCCTGTTTGAGTTTGGGACTTACAAGAAAAGAAAATAAACAAAAGGCAGCCATCTAGGATTTTGCCTAGTATAGATTGTTATTGCTATTTCTTAAGAAGTTCTGAATGGATTTCTCTCAAATTTCATACTTATGTTCCCTTTGGTCTCTCCTTGTGCTCGTTTGATTTTGGAACTGATAGGTGGCCATTTTGGATTTGGCATGTAAAGATTATCATCGCTATTTCTGCAAAGGAATGTTTAAGTGTCCTATCATTGAGAGCAAAATCAGAGAAGAGAATGGAAGGGAAAAGGTCCAACTTTCAAAGAGCATATAAAGATAAAACAATGGTGGGAGCCAAGATCCCTCTGGAATCTCTTGTTATTTTTCTTGAATTACGTAAGTCATCATTATATAAAGGCTTCAGTCTTCTATATACCCATTGTTGTAAAACCGTAAACATACTGTATTTGGCACAAAATGTCATGTTTTGGCAAGTTAGTGCCATGATGAATTCTCGCTTCCTCAATTAACAGAAACTGTAATTAGCACAATCATATTTAAACACAATTTTTTCAGCTCAAAAAGTACCAAAATAAGATAACTGCTAAAATATGTATATATCAGTTATCATTTTTTTCTCTTTACTGTCTTAAGTCTTCTATATAGCCACTAATTAGTCTCCTCTCTATTGGCTTTAGTGTTTTTAAACCCACTAATTACCTTTCTCTGTACTGGCTTTAGTCATCCATATACCCACTATTTAGCCTTCTCAGTACTGGCTTTAGTCTTCCATATACCTACTATTTAGCCTTCTCTGTACTGACTTTAGTTGTCCATATACCAACCATTTAGTCTTCTCTGTACTGACTTTAGTTGTCCATATACCAACCATTTAGTCTTCTCTTTACTGACTTTAGTCTTCCATATACCCACTATTTAGCCTTCTCTGTACTGGCTTTAGTCTTCCATATACCCACTATTTAGCCTTCTCAGTACTGGCTTTAGTCTTCCATATACCTACTATTTAGCCTTCTCTGTACTGGCTTTAGTTGTCCATATACCTACTATTTAGCCTTCTCTGTACTGGCTTTAGTCTTCCATATACCCACTATTTAGCCTTCTCAGTACTGGCTTTAGTCTTCCATATACCCACTATTTAGCCTTCTCAGTACTGGCTTTAGTCTTCCATATACCCACTATTTAGCCTTCTCAGTACTGGCTTTAGTTGTCCATATACCCACTATTTAATGTTCTCTGTACTGGCTTTAGTCTTCCATATACCTACTATTTAGTCTTCTCTGTACTGGCTTTAGTCTTCCATATACCCACTATTTAGCCTTCTCAGTACTGGCTTTAGTCTTCCATATACCCACTATTTAGCCTTCTCAGTACTGGCTTTAGTCTTCCATATACCCACTATTTAGCCTTCTCAGTACTGGCTTTAGTCTTCCATATACCCACTATTTAGCCTTCTCAGTACTGGCTTTAGTCTTCCATATACCCACTATTTAGCCTTCTCAGTACTGGCTTTAGTCTTCCATATACCCACTATTTAGCCTTCTCTGTACTGGCTTTAGTCTTCCATATACCTACTATTTAGTCTTCTCTGTACTGGCTTTAGTCTTCCATATACCCACTATTTAGCCTTCTCAGTACTGGCTTTAGTCTTCCATACACCCTCTAATCAGCCTTCTCTGTACTGACTTTAGTTGTCCATATACCTACTATTTAGTCTTCTCTGTACTGACTTCAGTTGTCCATATACCTACTATTTAGTCTTCTCTGTACTGACTTTAGTTGTCCATATACCTACCATTTAGTCTTCTCTTTACTGACTTTAGTTGTCCATATACCTACCATTTAGTCTTCTCTTTACTGACTTTAGTTGTCCATATACCTACTATTTAGTCTTCTCTGTACTGACTTCAGTTGTCCATATACCTACTATTTAGTCTTCTCTGTACTGGCTTTAGTTGTCCATATACCCACTATTTAGCCTTCACAGTACTGGCTTTAGTTGTCCATATACCCACTATTTAGCCTTCTCTGTACTGGCTTTAGTTGTCCAT